ATCTTAGCTGTAGAGGGCAGTGTCACTGGCCCTCATATGTGGGATCCAAACCGGGGCCCTCTGGCGTCCCAAGCCAGTTCTTAACCAATGCGCCACTCGGCCGGCCCTGTATTTAGGATTTTAATGGTTGTTGTTGTTGTTGGAGTGACCCTTGTAGCACATGTAGGGTTCCTGATAATTTTCTTCGTTGAGACACCTACTTTGTCTGATATTAATAGAGCCATTCCAACTTTTATTCATTTGGTGTTTGCAGGGCCTATTTTTTCCCATCTATTTACTATTTAATCTTTTAACCTATCAATAACATTATATTTGAAGTGAGTTTCTTGTAGACAGTGTATAGTTGGTTCATTTTAATCCACTCTGCCAATCTGTCTTTTATAGTATGTTTAGACCATTTACACTAAATTTAATTATCAATATAGTAGGGCTTAAGTGTGCTATTTTATTATTTGTTTTCTGTTTGTTCTTTGTTTTTTTTTCTTTTGTTTCCTTTTTCCTGCCTTCCTATGGTTTATCTGAATAGTTTTAGTTCTCCATTTGAATGTTATCTGTTATATTTCTGAGCATATCTCTTTGTATAGCTTTTTTTAGTGGTTGCATTACAAGTTGCAGTCTACTTGTTTGGACATTTTACCACCTCAGGTGAAATAGAGAAACCTCACCACCATTTAAGTTTCATTATCATCCTCCCTTTATAATTTAATTGTCTTAAATATCTCCTGTACATACCTTGAGAACTTCGTTAATATCTTTTATAGACATCTGACATTTAAATAATTCAGAAGGAAACCTGTTTACCCACATGCTCAACAGCATGTTCACCTCCCCATTATTTTTTTCCCCATTCCTGATGTCCCAGATTTCCTCCTTTTGTCTTTCCTTTGTGTTTAAAGGTCTTGCTTTAGCTATTATCTTAGTGCAGGTGTGCTGGTGACAGATTCTCTTAGTGTCCCTTCCTTTGAGAATATCTTTATTTCACCTTCAGTCCTACAAGCTGTTTTTGGTGGGTATAGACTTCTGGGTTGAAAGTTCTTTTCTTTCTGCACTTGAAAAATGTGACACCACTTCCTTTGTCGTTGTTTCTGAAGAGCAACCCCCTGCCATGTGAGCTCTTTTCCCCCTACAAGTAATGCCTTTTCTCTCTGGTTGTTTTCGAGATTCTTTCATTGTTTTTAGTTTTCAGAAGTTTGATTCTGATATGTATGGGTATGGCCTTTTTTTGCTTGTATTCTGTTGTGTTGGGGTTTTTTCAACTAACTGAATATATAGGTTTATGTCTTTTGCCAAATTTGGGAAGTTTTCAGCCTTCATTTTGTTAATACTTATTTATTTGCTTGCTTACCATATACGTTTCTCTTCTTGGAAGTTTAATTGGAACTACAGTTGGGACCCCAGTGACATGAATGTTACATCTTTTTCTTCTTCCACAGGCTCCTGAGGTTCTGTTCCCTTTTTTTTTTTTAAGTGTTTTCTGTCTTTTGGTCAGATAGGACAATTTTGGTCAATCTATCTTTGCATTTACTCTTTGAATTTTTTTCCTCTGTCACCTCTTTCTGTTATTGAGACACTCCTGTGATTTTTTTGTTTGTTTGTTTATTTCAGTTATTTTTTATTTCTGACGTTTTTCTTTGTTTCTCTTTATATCTTCTGTTTCTTTGCCAGGACTTCCTGTTTTTTTCATTTGTTCCAAGAGTGTTTGGGATTGCTCACTGAATTATTTTTATAACAGTTGCTTTAAAATCTTTGTTAGATAATTCTGACTTCTGTCAACTCAGTGTTGATGTCTATTGATTTTTCTCATTCAAATTGAGATTTTACTAGTTATTTTTTACTGTTTCTGGGTTATTTGTGACTGTGTCATGGCATTTTGGATGTTAAGTGATGAGGCCCTGCATCCTATTAGATCCCAGTCCTCATTCCTGGCACCAGCTGGGTGCTGCCTGGTGCTGAGGCAGCAGCCAGGCTCCTATCGCACACATGGGGTCTGCGGACACTTGTGGGCCACCTCATTACAGCCAGGCCGGGCCAGTAGTCAGGGGCCACACACGTTCCCCGTGTGGCCCCTGCAAGGCCAGCTGTGTGAGGAGCCGTCTTTCCTTGGCGTTGGGCTGGAGTGGGGCTGATGTTGGCAGGAGTCTGTCCTGCAGGGCTGCTGCCTCCTGGCCCTGTCACCGTGGACAGTCGTCTTACCCATATTTGGGGGGGTCAGTGTCCATTGGCCTTCTGGGTTGCCATCTCCTCTGGCATTCAGATTAGGATGCATATGAGACCATACAAACAAACAAACAGAAAAACAACCCAAACCAGCCCATTTTGTGTGTGACCATTTTCTTGAGGTCCCTCGATGGTTGGCCTTCTGTTCCCCACCCCTTGAGTTGTCTGCTGCTTGTTTTGTGTATTGTTATCCAGGGTGTTTAAGATAATGGGACTGGAAGCCCACACACCGATTCCAAATTTAATCAAGACGTGTTTTAAAACATAAATGTTCCCGGGAGAGCATCCGTGTATTGAGACCCAAACTGTCTTTTTTATTGGGTGTGCCATGCTCAGAGCATGCAGTGTGCCCTCACAGGTAGTGGGCATGGAGTGGCCAGGTCAGCTGCATGGTGACCCCTGCGTGGAGGCTACGCAGGTGGTGGGGGTGGAAGCCCATCAGGAGGGCGTTCTCTGTCGGGGAGGGGAGTGGAGTGGGGGCGAGCATGGGCCTGGGGACGTTTCGGAGGTGAACATAAGCTAAAACTTTAAATGCACTTCTAATATTGCTATTCAAACTTTGAGTTGCGTTATTTTTGTGACTTTTTCAGATTATGAAGTTACTGTATCTTGCTTTTATGACAATTTATTTTCAGTAAAAAATAAGGTTAAAAATCTCATAATTTTCTCTTAGCTGAACTTCGGTCATTGTCTATCCCTGGAACGTACCAAGAGAAGATTACTCACCTAGGAAATTCTTTGATGAATTTAACAGGTCTAAAATCTTTAGATCTCTCACGCAACTCCTTAGTTAGTCTAGAGGTAAGTTTTAGGTTTGTTTCTTAAACAAAAATTTATTGCTATCAGTAGCAGTGGAAAGTACATTTATAGTTAAACATGTGATCTGTTTGATAGCAATGCCCTAATGCTTGTAAACTGTTCACATAACAGTGATTTCATTGCTGTCTTTTTTCTGGTGTTTACAGTGAGCTAGATTTCTTACACATCACATCGCATCTTTAAACTACTTTGACAACCAGAAGTCGTAGCTCTCTGATGAAGGTAGTTGTGCCTTTAAAGGGATACGATAAGGCCCAAGAGTCTGACGTGTGTGCCTCCATCCCTCTCCATCCCTTTCCCCGCCGTGGCTCCTCCTCCGTCCACTCTCTGATCTGCACATATTTATGGTCTGACTCCTGGTGGCTGCGGGTCCTTGAATGGCAGGACCACAATGCAGACAGGCCTGACCAGGCAGGGGCTCAGGCCTCCCTCGGTCACTGAGGTGAAGGCAAATGGCAGCGCTGTGTAAACACTGCTGGTGGCTTAGGTGGAGAGGGGGCTCTGGAAAGAAAGGCAGGACATCGCCCTGGAACGTGGTGCTTCAGTGCCCCTGACTCAGAGTCAGAGGCCGGTTCCAGTCCAGGCTGCTCCCAGTGCTGGCTCTGCCCCAGGCCTCAGTGTTCTGATCTGTGCAATGGGGCGACGGCAGTGCTTAGCCTGGAGGGTTGTGTGTGGTTGAATGACCTCGTTTGAGCTCGGTGCGCGCTGAGAACGCAGTAGGCACCAGCTGTCCCCAGTAGTCATGACTGTGGCAGACGTCCCTGCACAGTCACGTGACTGTGTGCAAGACAGAGAGACTCAGGGACGAGGACACTCATCGCCGCTCTTCCTGGTAGTGGCGTGTATTCAGTGCGGCGTGCTTGTTGAGGGGCCGATGGCTGCGTGACGGCCCATGGCGTGGCTTGCTCTCCCACGTGTGAGCTGACTCAGTGTTTTGTCCCGTGACAGGGCATTCAGCACCTGGCTTCCCTGGAACGTCTCAGCCTCTACCACAACTGCGTGTCCTCGCTGGCGGAAGTGCTACGGCTGCGCTCTTTGCCGGAGCTCAGGGACGTGGACTTGCGACTGAACCCCGTGGTGAAGAACCAGCCCGGTTACCGCCTCGTTGTGCTGCACGCGCTCCCAAAGCTCAGGCAGCTGGGTGGGCGCCGACTCTGCGCTTGCTTGGTGGGGCCTGTCTGTTGGGGTTGGCGCTCCCTGGTCCATCGCGCTGTGGGTCTTTCTGAAAAGGGATGGTGACTTTCTGCTCTGATGGTGTGAGGGTCTGTGTCACAGGGCAGGCCTTGCAGGAGAGCCACCTGGAAAGGCGGCAGTGAGCCCCACAGCCACAGATCATGCCCGGGGAGGCCAGGAGCACAGGCATGGGCCGGGCTGCTCGGCTCCTTCTGGCTGTTGGACTGGGCGCGTTCCTGAACTTCTGGTGCCTGTTTCTGTGCATGGCTTTGTCTCAGGCTCAGCCGGACAGCTGGACTCCACCTGGGAGGACATAGGACTAGAGGCTCATGGGCCATCCCCTTCCCCCCAGGGGGCCAGGGTGGGAGGGTGAGCCCGCACCTGAGCCCAGCAACCCATGTCTCTCAACGGGATAGATCTGTGACAGGCTTGCAGGGAGCCGACTGGATGTGTCCTGTCGGGAGGGTCACCCTCGGGGAGCCACAGGTGCCTTCCCACCACCTCCCTGCCTCCCAGGATGTGTCTTTGCTGTGAGCTGTGTGGCCAGTGGCACTGCCGGTGCTCCCCCCGTCGCACTCCCAGGGGACAGCTGCAGCCTGAGCCTAGGGTGCGCTGACTGTGCAGCATGGGGGCAGAGGCCTGGGGCCTTGTGCCCTCGGTCCTGCTGTGTGAAGGGGGATAAGTGCCGGGTGCCTGTGGTTCCCGAGTGTCTGGCTGAAGGGTGTGATCTCAGCGGGTCCTCAGTCCGTGGCCCGTTCACTTCTCAGCGTGGCTGGGGGTGCATTCATTCAGGACGTGTTGTCTCCTGGGTGTCGACCTTACGAAACCAGTGACTGCCACCAGGGGCAGCGTTTGTCAGGGGAGGCGTGGATGGGGCACCACTGTCCACGTGGTGAACACTGAGCTGCAGGCAGACTGCGGCCACGGTCCTGCCGGTACCCAGCCGGGGTCTGTGAAACCCATGTTCTGCATATCTGGGCTGCACGTGCATTGATGCCACGCATGTGTGTCACTCCCCCCAGTCCCTGCACTGCCGGGCCAGGTGGCCTGAGCTGTGGCTGTCAGTGACGGGCCCCCAGAGGCACAGTGTCCGGGGTAAGACCTCCTCGGATACCTGGGAGGGTATGTGCTTCTGCTCTAACTTTGACTCCAAATAACTTACAGTTAATGTGGGCTCTTTTTCAGAAGTTTCCCAGTCCTTATGGGATATTTTTGTAATCTTCAGTCTTAAATCACTCTTTTCCCTTTGTCATAAAAGTTTTAGATTCAGACTCTTTCAGTGTTTGTGCAGAGAAGGGATGTGAGAGTCTTCCCACACAGCAAGGACCATAATAGAAAGTCAGTCACTGCAGCACCCACGGCACCCGTGGGAGGCCCGCTGTCCCTGGCAGGGTGCCCCATAAATTGGAGCAGTCAGTTTCTCTGAGCAGCTGGGGGGCCGCGCAGGGTGACGTGAGCAGTGCCCCACATGGTTGGTCCAGGAGGTGTGGGGTCCGGGAGAATGTTGCAGTCAGGAGAGGGCGTAGATTTGGGGCAAATCAGTTTACATTTGATTTGAGCGGTGTGGAGTTTGAATTTATAGTGGATCAGCCCGGAGCAGTATCCTTAGAGCAAGGGCTTTGGAGCTGACTCAGAAGTGAGGGGAGCCATGTGTTCTCAGCACCGAGTGTCCACACCTGAGGACACGGCAGGGGCAGGATTAGGGAGGCACTGGTCTCCGGAGGAGCCCCAGCCCGCAGAGGCGCTGCTGCCTGGCTTTCCCAGCTCCTGAGTTTCCCTCTGTGGACACGACTGTTGCAGTGTCACTCATTTGCCACGGTCGTGCTCTCTGGGCTGTGCCGCAGGAAATGCCCTTTGGAAGGCAGCCTTGGAAGGGAAGTGCCATTTATAACGGTGACCTGTGCTCACGTGTCACAGCTGTCCACAGCACCGACTGAGCATTTGGGAACCTAGTCAGCTTCAGGGTTCCCAGAGGGAAGCCCTGGAGTTGTTGGGTGGAGGCCTCTGAGCCTGGGGCATACCTCTGGGGCAGTTTAAACTTGTCGTCTGTGTTTCCCAGTCCTGAGGATCTGAGGGTGCAAATGCTAGGCGTGGACATCCTTTCTCTTTGGCATGTCCAGGGTTCTCACACATGGACACTATCAGATGTGCTCATGCAGCACCCAGAACGTGCATGAAAAGTAGGGAGCCCAGGGGTGTGCCTGGGTGTGGACCTGCATTGTTTCCTCTCCTGCGGGCACTGCCTGTCCCCAGAGCAGGGTCTGTGGAGAGAGCTCTGCACGAGCAGGAAGCCTCTCTGGGAAGGAGCCCAGCATCCTTCACTGGGTCTGCCCAGTGCTGTGGGGACCCTGGCAAGGTCACCCCAAAGGGGACAGCACGTCCGGAGCAAGTGGTGGCAGCCCTGGGCACGTGCAGGGTGGTGCTGGGAGCCTCGTGGAGTCGTTTGCTAGTGTCTCGGTGGCATTTGCTCCCTAGATGACCGCCCCGTGAGAGCGAGCGAGCGGGAAGCATCCTGGCTGCATTTTGCTTCAGAGGGATCCCTGGACTCCACGCAGAGCTTGTCAGCTGCGGGTAGAGCCGGAAGGTATGAGCACGCGTGGTGTCTGACTGTGCAGAGATGCCAGGCCAGCCTGTGGCTAGGGCCCGTTAACTAAGAGATGGAGAGTCTATTAGCCGGAAGAGGTCGATTGTGCGTGGATGGCCCCTGAAAGGGCAGGCGCGCGGGAGAGGAGGGACGGAGAAAGGCCCAGGTCCCAGCTGGGACACTCTTCCTGTAAGTTACTTGTTAAAGGTAAAATGTTTACTCAAGTCACACATGTAGTCAGACATCACAGAGGCTTCTAGCAAGAAGCATCAGCCCGTCTCCCTGCTGCCCCGCCCGGGCTGCTCTGTTGTCCCCGGCGGTGCAGACACATTGCCGGCCTGGCTGTGCACACTTGAAGCGGGACCCTCCAGCTGCCGCAGCCCCCGCCCTACGCCCTGGTGACAGCTTGTGGAGTGCCCCTCCTGTGTTCTCATCTCAGTGCCCTGTGGCCAGGGCTCGCGGCTCTGCTTGGCCTGCACGTGGTCACAGCTGGGGTACCGGTGTCTAGATGCTGTGGAGGCGTGGAGCCCCTTCAGGCTTTGTGTGCGGGTTGGTCTCAAAGGCAGAAGTCAGTCAGCTGTTTGCGTTGCTTGTCATGCACGAGGATGGTGTGCTCCTTTACGCTGTTTTCCTTCAGTCGGAAGCTTTCATAGTCTCCTTTTTCTTCCATTATATGCCTTAGCTCATCCATAAATTCCGCTAATGTGGAGGTCGGCCAACTTGTTTTTGTAAAAGACTAAAGAGAATGTTTTCAGCTCTGTGGACCACATGATCTTTCTGTAACTTCAAAACTGCCTGGTAGCATGAAAGCAGCCATAGACAATACTTAATGAATAACTGTGTTCCGATAAAACTTTATTTACAAAAACAGGCAGTGGACCAGATTCGACCTGTGGGAAGTGATGAGGTCATGAGAAGGAATGCTCATACGTGAGACCGGCGCGCTTAGACACAGACCACAGGCTTCCGAGGCCCTTCCCCCACGCGCGGGTATCAGTCAGGCGGTGTCGCCTCCATCTTTCTTCTCCTTCAGCGTTGTGTTGGCTCTTGGGGGTTCCTTGCCTCACCATAGAAACATTAGAATCAGTTTGTCCATGACCACAAGGTAACCTGCTGGGTTTTGGTTGGGGTTGCATTGAATCTGTAGATGAAGCTGGGAAGGACTGACATCTTGACAATATTGATCTTCCTATCCATAAACACGGACTATGTCTCCATTTACTGAGTTCTTTTATTTTATTTTTCAGATGTTTGTAGTTTTCCTCATATAGATCTTACATGTATTTTGTTAGATTTATACTTTAGTATGTCATTTTTTTATGCTGATGTAAATGGTATTGTGTGTGTGTTGTTTTTTTATTTCAAATTTCTATTGTTCATTGGTGGTATATAAGAAAGCATTGGACTTTTGTATTCTAACCTTGTGTACTAGTTTCCTAGAGTCGATGTAACAAAGTACCACAAACTGAGAAGTTTCAAATACCAGAATTGTATTGTCTCACCATTCTTAAGCCTAGAAGTCTGAAATCAAGGTGTCGGCAGGGCTGATCTGGGGACTGTAAGGGAGAACCCGTTCCGTAACTCTCCGAGGTTCTGGTGGTTTGCTGGCAGTCTTTGGTGTTCCTTGGCCTAGAGAGGACTCCCTTGGTCTCTGTCTTCCCATGGCCATCTTCTCCCTGCGTCTTTTCACCGACTCTCCCCTTGGTGCGTGTTTGTTTCTGTGTCCAAATTCCCTTTTCATAAAGACACCAGTTGTATTGAATTACGGTCCCTCCTAATGACCTCATCTTAACTTGATTACTTCAGTAAAGACCCTCTTTCCAGTAAGGTAGAGGATGTTGGGGCTTCACCATTTCTTTTGGGGGGCTGGACACAGTGTGAAATATCTTGTATTTTGCAACCTTGGTGTAATCACTTATTAGTTCCAGGAGGGTTTTTTTTTTTTTTTGGTCAATTCTTTGGGATTTTCTACATAGACAATCATGTCATCTATGAACAAAGACAATTTTATTTCTTCCTTCCCAGTCTGTCTACCTTTTATTTCCTTTTCTTGTCTTATTGCATTAGCTGGGACTTCCAGTACGATTTGAAAAGAAGTGGTGAGGGGACACCCTTGTTTTGTTCCCAATCTTTGCAGCAAAGCATCTCGTTTCTCACCACGAAGTGTGATATTAGCTGTAGGTTTTTGTAGATGCTTTTATCAAGTTGAGGAAGTTCCCCTCTATTTCTAGTTTGCTGACCATTTTTATCATGAATGGAGGCTGGATTTTTGTCAGCAGCTTGTTTTTTTTTTTTGCGTCTATTGAAATGATCATGTGATTTTTATTCTTCATTAAAAGAATATGTTGGTGTGATGTATTGCATTGTTTTCCAAATGTTGAACCAGCCTTGCATACCTGGAATAAATCCCACTTGGTCATGGTGTATAGTTCTTTTTATACGTTGTTGGATTCTATTTGCTAATATTTTTTTGAAGATTTTTGTATCTGTGTTCATGAGTTTTCTTGTATTGTCTTTGCTGGTTCTTTTATTAAGGTAATGTTGATCTCATAGGAGGGGTTAGGAAGTGTTCCCTCTGCTTCTGTCTTCTAGAAGAGATTATAGAGAATTGGTATAATTTTTTCTTTAAGTATTTGGTAGAATTCACCAGTGAACCCATCTGGACTTGGTGTTTTAGAAGGCTATTAATTATTGATTCAATGTCTTTAGTTAATATAAGGCTATTCAGATTATTCTCTTCTCCTGTGAATTTTGGTAGATTGTGTCTTTCTAGGAACTGGTTCATTTCATCTAGATCAGGGGTTGGCAAACTTTTGAGATGGAAGGGCCGCTAAGGGTCAGCAAACTGCAGCTCGCGAGCCACAGGCTCTGGAGTAAAATTGAAAATGAAAACAAAACTATCATAGTTTCATATATAAAATTTTTAAAGGATATTATTCACATATTGGTGATTATGTAAAAATATATTTATGGCTCTCGAATAATTTTTAAATTATTGTGAGGGACAGGATTGGCTCTTGCAGGGGTTGGCAAACTTTTGAGACAGAACGTACCCAAAGAGCTGCGTGTGGCTCGCGAGCTGCAGTTTGCTGACTCCTGATCTAGATCATCAAATTCGTAGGCATAGAGTTGTTTATAATATTTCTTTATTATCCTTTTAATGTCTGTAGGATTTGCAGTGGTGCCCCCACTTTCATTTCTGATGTTAGAATTTGTGTTAACCTGGCATGGATGTTTTTCAATTTTATTGATGTTTTTAAAGAACTAGCCTTTGGATTTGTTGATTTCTCTCTATTGACTTCCTGTTTTCAATTTCATTGATTTCTGTTCTAATTTTTATTATTTCTTTTCTTTTGCTTACTTTGGATTTAATTTGTTCTTTTTCTAGTTTGCTAAGGTAGAATAGAATCTTGGATTATTGATTTTAGATCTTAGTGGGGTTTTTTTCTCTAATATATGCATTTAATGCTATAAATTCCTTTCTAAGCATTACTTTCACTGCATCCCACAAATTTTGAGGTGTATTTTTTTTTATTCAGTTCAAAATATTTTTTAATTTTTCTTGAGATTTTTTTCTTTGAGCCACGTGTTATTGAGAAATACGTTGTTTAATCTCCAAGTATTTTGGGATTTTCCATTTATCTATTATTGATTACTTGTGTAATTCATTATAGTCTGAGAGCAGATAGCATATGATTTCTCTTTAAATATGTAAAGAAGTCTGTTTTATGGTTCAGAATGTGGTATATCTTGGTGAATGTTTCATGTGAGCTTGAGAATGTGTATTCTGCTGTTGGATGGTGTAGTCTGTAGATGTCCATTCTACCCAGGTGATTGATAGTGCTGTTGAGTTCAGCACATCCTGACTGATTTCCAGCCTGCTGGGTCTGTCTGTGTCTGAGGAAGGGTGTTGAAATCGCCATCTGTGATGGTGGATTCACCTCTCTCTCCTGGCAGTTCTCTCAGTTTTTGTCTCATGTAGTTTGACGATCTATTGTTAGGTGCATACACATTAAAGATTGTTCTGGCTTCTTGGAGAATTTACCGTTTTATTGTTATGTGATGCCCGTCTTTATCCCTGATAACTTTCCTTGCGTTGGAGTCGGCTCTGCTTGGAATTACGGTCACTACTCCAGCTTTCTTTTGACTTGTATCAGCCTGGTATGTATATTTGTCTCTTTCCCTTTACTTTTAATCCATATATGTCTTTATAGTTAAAGTGGGTTTGTTGTAAACAACATATATGGGTCATGTTTTTTGATCCACTCTGACAGTCTGTTGTCTTTTAATTGGTATATTCATACCATTGATGTTTAAAGTGATTATTGATACAGTTGGATTAATATCTGTAATGTTTGTTACTGTTCTCTTCTCATTGCCCTTCGTCCTTGTTCCTGTTCTTGTCTCCTGTTCTTTTTCTTTCTTTTGTTGATTTAAATGAGCGTTTTATGTGATTCCATTTTCTCTCTCTGCTTAGCACATCAGTCATACTTATATTTTTACCTTTTTTAGTGGTTGCCCTACAGTATGCAATATACATTTACAACTAATCCAGGTCCACTTTCAAATAGCACTGTACTGCTTCACTGGTAGTGCAAGTGCCTCATGATACGAATTCTCCTAATCCCTCCCTCCCTGCCCCTCGTAGCATTGCGGTCCTTCGTGCCCTACTATTGTGTGCATTTATATGTGTACACGTGGGCATACGTAATTGAATGCATTGTTGCTATTATTATTTCAAACTGTTACCTGTTAGATTAATTAAAAATAATAATAAAAGTTAAGTTTTTATTTTACCTTCACTAATTTCTTCTCTAAAGCTCTTTCTTTATGTAGATCCAAGTTTCTGACTTACATCATTCTCCTCTAAAGAAGTTCTTTTAACATTTCTTACAAGGCAGGTCTACTGGTAACAGATTCCCTCGGTTTTTGTTTATCTGAGAAAGTCCTTTATTTCTCCTTCAGTTTTGAAGGATACCAAATTCTCAGCATTTAAAATTTTTTTTTCAGATTTTTTTTTAATTGGGGAATTGGGGGAGGGGAACAGTGTTGGGGAGTTGGGGAAGGGGAACAGACAAGTTCTTGTCCTTCATTCTTAGTTGTGAAGGGTGCAGCAAGCTCAGCTCCAAGTCCAGTCGCGCCGCTCAGCTCAGGGTGCTGTGTTCAGTTTTAGTTGCGGGTGGGCAGAGCCACCATCCCATGCGGGAGTCTAACCAACAGCCTTGTTGTTAAGAGCACACACTCTATTTACTGAGCCATCAGGGCAGCAGCTCAGCTCAAGGTGCCGAGTTCAGTCTGAATTGTGGGTGGGCGTAGTCCACCATCTTGAACAGGCAACCTTGTTGTTAGGAGCACGTGCTATCACCAGCTGAGCCATCCTGCCACCTGTTGGCAGCTCAGAGGCAGCTCATCTTGGGCGCAGCTCACTGGCCCATGTGGGAATCGAACCAGTGACCCTGTTGCTCAGAGCTCACACTCTTCTGATTTTTTACTTGGGACATGTTTCTTTGTTTCTTCATTCTGGCTGTCGCTCTGATTGCTTCGATGTATTAGATCACCAGCTAGTGAGTCGGTGTGCCGGCTCCACTGTTTCTCCAGCCGCCCCCAGTCTCACCGAGCCAAGCAAAGAGAGTCCTCACTATTTTCTCCTTCCAGCTATCGTAGAATTCCTCTTCCCAGCAACATAACTCTGGGGTGGTGAGCGCGGTGTGGGGCCAGAGGGTCTTGCCCCCAACTGGAGAAGCCTCCCACTGCTGAGGTGTCCCTCACAGGGTTCGCCCTCTCTCGTCTCCGCCCCTCCTACCGGACTTGATGTGGCCTCCTCTCTAAGTCCTTCGTTTAGAGGTTCTGTTCATCTAGGGTCCAGGGAACTTCCGAGGTTGAATATCTCATAAATTATTTGTAGTTTTGTTGTGATCCTGGGAGGTAGTTGGCACAGCGTCTGTCTATTCCGCCATCTTACCGCTCTCTTCCCAGAGCTCACACTCTTGAGCAGGCTCTTCTGAGTCACTTGGCCGACCTAAATATTTACCCCCCTCTTTTCTTGCTTATATGGTTTCTGAGGAGAAGTCAGATACAATTCTTATCTCTGTTTCTCGACGTAAAATGTTTTTTTCTGATCTGTTTTTTTTAAGATATTTTTTTCTTTGTCTTTGATATTCTCCAGTTTGTATATGACATTCCTTGATGTGATTTTTTGCCACTTACCCTGCCAGTGTTCTCTGAGCTTCCTGGATCTGTGGTTTGGTGTTTGATATTAATTTGAGGAATTTGCAGTCTTTATTAAAATATTTTTTCTGTTCCTTTCTCTTTCTGGTATTCTCATTATGTGTATGTTACACCTTTTGTGGTTGTGCCACAATTCTTGAGTATTCTAGTGTGTTTTGTTTTCAGTCTTTTTTTTCTCTGCTTTTCAGTTTTAGAAGTTTCTGTTGATGTATCCTCAAGCTGAGCGATTCTTCCCTCAGCCGTGTGTTGTCTGCAAATGAGCCCATTGGAGGCAGTCTTCATTTCGGTTACAGTGTTTTGATCTCTAGCATCTCTTTTTGATTTTTTCTTAGAATGTCCATCTCTCTGCTTATGTTTCCCATCTTGCATTTTAATTAGAGCCCTTAGCATTATTACTTACAGGGGGCTTTATTTGTTTTAAGATTTTTTTTATTGGGGAATCGGGGAAGGGGAACAGACAAGCTGCTGTCCTTCTGTTTTTCAGTCTAGTTGTGGAGGACGTCACTTCACTGGCCCATGTTGGTATTATCCTTGCGCTCTTCCCGGGTGAGGCAGTCGCTCCCCGGCCATTGGACGGCCGCTCACGGCAGCTCATGGCGGCTCACGGAAGCTCATGGCAGCCCACTACAGCAGGGGCTGCAGCTTACGCCGTCGCCATCTACTCACAGCAGCCCAGCTCCAGGTCGAGCTATTGTTCACCATCTTAGCTGTAGAGGGCAGTGTCACTGGCCCTCATGTGGGATCTGAACCGGGGCCCTGCTGCTCAGAGCTGGTGTCCCAAGTCAGCTCTTAACCAACGTGCCACTTGGCCAGACCATTTATAGTTGTTTTAAATCCTGGTCTGATAATTCCAGCATTTCTGATATATCTGAGCCTGGTTCTAAAGCTTCCTCTTCTTTTTCAAGATTGTTCTAGCTATTTGGAGTCTCCTGAGATCCCAGCTGCATTTTAGGGTGGGTTTTTCTATTTCTGGAAAAACATCGCTGGGATTTTGAGAGGGATCACACTGATTCCGTAGCTCACTTTGAGCAGTATTGACATCTTAATGTTAAGTCTTCTAGTCCATGAACATGGGACATGTTTCCATTTATTTGCGTCTTCTTTAGTTTCTTTTAGCAACATTCTGAGGTTTACCTGCCCTTGATAATCTCAAGGCTGCATTGTCACAGAGTTTAGAGTTCAGGCGATCTGGTGCAACCTCCTTACTATCCAGAGGTGACAGTGGAGGCCCAGAGGGCCTGGGATGTGTCAGATCAGATGTCGGTTTCTGTAGGCAGACCCAGGAGGAGAACTCAAGCTGCCTTTGGAAAATGAGGTCCCTTTTGAGCACACTCATCTCCGTATGGAGGGTCACCGTTGGGAGTGACGTCATCTCGAAAACACCTCACATTTTAGTCACTTAATGTAAAAATAGAAGTTTGGATACCATATCTTTTTTTTTTTTTTTTTTTTAGCTGAGCCATCCTGCCACCTGTTGGCAGCTCAGCGGCAGCTCAGCTCAGGCCGGGACTCGAACCGCTGTTGCTCAGAGCTCACACTCTTGAGCGAGCTCTTAACCAACTGAGCCACTCGGCCGGCCCTGGACACCATATCTTTTAACTTTCTTGATCTCATGGAGCAAACTCTCATATGCTAGGAAAAGGGGCGCCTTCCAAACTTGTGTTCTTGGACAAATCCTAGTGGGGCTCTGCACGTGCTGGGTGCTGTGGTGACATTACACGCCCTTGCTCTCCATCCCAGTTGTCCTGCCGAGTCCCTCCTTGACTTCTCTTTCGTGGAGGCACAAGAGCCATTTTTTGTGCCTGTTCTGGCTGCCCGCGAGACCTGTGGCTGTGCTGCCGTGTGCCCATGCCCCTCACAAGGTCTGCCTTGGCTGGGGCCACAGCACTGAGCTGCCTTTTCTTTGCAGACCGTGCCAGTCCAGAGCCAAGTGCACCGACCCCTCGGCCAAAAAGTGCTTGGTCATGGATGTGGATGACGAGGCGGTCCTGAGCCTGATTGCCGAGTGCGAGTGGGACCTGAGCAACCCTCCTGGGAGCACGAGTTACAGCCAGAAGGAGCGAGAGGCTGACTTCCACAGTCCCCAAGGTATGCTGCCGTGTGCCGCAAAGGCCAGCAGCCCCCTCCCCCCCACATCCCACTAGCTCTGAGGTGGCCGTCACTGGCTTCACGATGCACCTGAGCTTTCTAGAAAACTTACCTTAAATACAGAATCTTCATGAAATCTTGTAAATGTCAGTAAGTTGGATTCCAGAATTAAAAGAGGAAGTCAGTGAACTCAAGTTGAGGATCAGCGTACCATGTGCTTGTTTCAGTAGATTTCTGCCTCAGCGTCTTCCAGTTACAGGGAAGGGGTAAGATATCTGAATGGACAAGAAGGGAACATGGCCTGTGGCTGGTGGAGCTGCTGTCCATGTCGGCCCAGCGGGTGTTCGCTGAACTTTGGGAAGTGCTGAGCGCTCGGCCGTAACCTGAGGGTGTGGGGTCTCTGTTGTGCACGGCCTCTCTGCCTGCGGGCCTCGCCAGGGGCTCTGTTGGCACCAGGACTTGTGCCCAGCTGTAGCTCAGTCTCTTCTTCCATGTGCCTCCTAAGAGCGTTCCATAAGACCCCAGCAGGTCGAGGCGTAAGTCTGGGCTAAGTCCTGGAGGGTATACCTGCTGGCACAAAGACATTTGCCCTACGAGTGCCCTCGCCAGCTCTCGGCATGGTCAGTCATTAATGCTGGCTGTTCTCCTGGGTGTGTACACTAAGTGTCCAACTTACGAGCAAGTTCTGTTCCCGGAGAACCTTCGTAAGTCAGATTCATTCTTAAGTCTGACTTGGGTGCATGATTGGCTGCATCTGTGAAAGTTCGCAACTCAAATGTTTGTAAGTCGGGGACTTCCTGTAGTCATATTTCATGATGGCTTCCCTTTGCATTTTCCAGAAGCCTCATCATGAAAATCTCTCCTTGTGCTTATGGGCCATGTGTATGTCCACCGGTGACGCTTCTACTCCCCTTTTTCTCTTCTTGGTATGGAGTCATAGGAGTTCCTTACGATTTGTGGATGCAGTCTCTTCTCAGATGTGAGGATTGCAAATTTTCTCCCATTCTGTTGCTTGCCTTTCATTTTCTTAACAGTGCTTTGAAGAGCAGAAGTTTTAATTTCAGTATAGTCAAGTTTAGCCATTTTTTCTTTACGATTTGTGCTTTTTTTGTGCCCTGCAATCTTTCTCACCACGTTCATGATTTTCCCTGTAGGTGTACTATGGTTTCCGTGTTTAGTCTGTGATCCACTCTTGGAGTGGATTTGTGAGCGGGCTCACCCCACACATCCAGTGGTGCTAATGCCATTTGTTGAAAAGACTGTCTTTTTTCTCATGTCATAGCCTTGGCACGTTTGTTAATTCGGTGGTTCTGGGTCCTGTTCTATGGGTCATCATGTCTGTCTTTGTACCAGCACCACACCATCTTGACTGTCGGCTTTGTAGTGAGCTGTGAGCCAGGCAGGGTCGGTCCCCTCTCTGCAGCAGTGACCGCTGCAGCTCACGACAGCGTTGGCTGTTGCATTATTAACCCACTCAGTCACCTCTTATCTAAGCGATATACTTCATAGGTTTCCTACAGTGTCACAAGCTTAAAATATAATCTTTAATGAACTAAAACTTGTTAAATGTTCTCTAATAAAATAGAATCCAGGCATCTGTTGAGTCCTCAGCCAGTGCAGTACCAGTGTGGGGACTCCATAAAGAAGGGTCACGAGAGGAGAAAAGGCAGCTCCAGAGGGCTTGGTGCTGAGAAGAAACCTCCGAGCCTGTGCTGCGGAGCGCCCTCGCTGCACGGAGACCAGGCCAAGGCCCGCAGGCCCCTGGGGCCGTACACGTACTTCCCCCCACACCCAGGTAATGTCACACAGCCGTGTCCACTTTTGTCACCACGTTTGCTGTCGCTGTGGAACGTTCTGAAATGTCTTAGGAAGGAACCTCACCTCGTACATTGAAATTTATAATACATCCGTAGTTTAGATTCCTAGTCTGTAAGTATTTTGGTGCTTTTCTTCTCTCTCTCTCTCTCTCTCTCTCTCTCTCTCTCTCTCTCTCTCTCTCTCTCTCTCTCTCTCTCTTTCTTTTAAATACACAGGCCGAGGCTATGACAATAGCTACATTTAAAAAATTAAAGATGAGGGAAATGAAATACTGAGTTAGTTAATTGAGAGTGTTGTATGCATGTATATAGCAAAGTGTCAGAAATCCCCCCCAATACGCGTGAGCCCAGTGCCTTCTGAGGCTTTTTGGGCCGGTCCCTGGGGCTTTGCAGGCAGGACGGGTTGTGGTGGTGACCTGCTCAGGTTGCCTGTGGCGGCTGCAGAGCAGGCTGTGGTGTTGAGGATGGGTCACACCTTTGTTACATCCTCTGCTTTCATTGTCCTGGTGGCTTTTCCCCTGTATCCTGAGACCTCATCACGATGCTGTACTATGTGGGTGCCCAGCACCCCCATTTCCGCAACTGTCAGAGTTCCTCATTTCACCTCAGTTTATGAACACATGTGCTGTGTCCCTGTGTGTGTGGTATATATGTGCACTGTGTGCGTGTATGCATGTATACATGTGTGCGTGTGTATAGATATGTGCATTCTCTGTATGTGTATATGTGTGCATTGTCCGTGTCCCTGTGTATGCATGTGTGCATGTATGTGTACATGTGTACGTGCATATGCTGTGTATATGTGTGTGCGTGTGTGTGCATATTCTCTGTCATTGTTCTTTTTCAGAACCTTGGAGCGGGATGTCCCGTCACTCCTGAACATTCCTGTGTAGTTCCTAAAAGTAGGGACACTGCCCAGAATCAGAAATGAACTTTGTCACAGATAGGCTGTTTACATTTCACCAGATGTTCCAATGACATTGTTTTCTTTGTAGTCCAGGATCCCGTGCACACAGTGTATTTAATTGTCATGTCTCGCCAGACTCCTATGACCCAGAACTATTTCTCACAATCTTTCTGTCTCTGCACCTTGAGGGTTAAAGCATTCAGACTGTACTTTTGTCGGGTGACTCCCCGTGTGGCTGTTCTGCTGATTCCTGGTGGCCAGGGGCTGGGCTCGTGCAGAGGCTGTGGGGCGGAGTGGGGAGAAGAGCACAGGTCAAGGCCAAGGTGAGATGCGGCAGCAGTGCGTGGTCTGTGTCTGTTCCGAAGCAGGGTGGGTGGTGTGGAGTGACCAATGGGGTCGTGGAGGGCGGGTGGGAGGGCCGTCTCTGTGGACCCAGCAAGAGGTGGAGGAACCTGGTAAGTTTGGTGACAGACATGGCTCTTAGGGAGGAGAGGAGTGTGTCCAGGTGATCTCTGACCTGGACAGACAGGTGACTGTGGTGTCGTGGACTCAACACCACGAGCACAGGAGCCCGGGTTTGCTGGGGGGCTGGGCTTGTCTGTGCTCACGGGGAGCCTGGGAGCCGTGTGGATACCAGTGCAGTGTGGGGTGCAGAGGGGAGCCCGCAGGAGAGGCCTGGCGGGCGGGCGGCCTCCTGACGTGGATCTGAGCCTGGGTGTGGAGAGCCAGGCGGGTGCGGGCAGTCCAGACAGACGAGGGTCCCAGAGCTCAGGGCTGAGGAGCTTCACGAGGAGAGCAGGGGGGCCAGGCCCAGCGCACCTGAGGAGCCACTTCTAAGGACCCTGGTCCGCAGCGGGCAGGGCCCGAAGCTCCCAAGTGTGGCCCTTGCCTCCTGCTAGCACTGGGCGGTGCTGGTGTGAACCAACTGGGGATGCAGCTCAGAGAATGTGGGGTCACACGCAGCTCCGGAGTCTGGGAGGGTCCCAGGTACTGATGCATGAACAGACTTTCACAGGAACAGTGCTGGCGTCCTCTCTCATTTCCAAATTTTAGCTTATTACTCATCTTTGTTATACATGATTTTGGCAAGAAAACATGTAGTAATACTTCAGTCTTGTCATTCTTTGATGGATTTTCTGTGTGTGCATGCGCATACATATGTGCACACATGCACGTACACATGCATGTGCACACGCACACCCTTTTAAAACGACAGTAGTGATCACACGCCCAGAGAACTTGGTCTAATGAGGGCTCTGTTGTCCCGTGTTACAGACTCCACAGACGTCGAGGACTCAGCCCCCTTTTCTCAGAAGTCGAGTTTGTCAGCACAGAACGTGTTCAATCCCTTGCCTGCTCCCGAAAAGTACAGGAAGCAGAGAGCGCCTGGCAGGAGGTCGCAGGTGCCAGCAGCCCAGGCCAGTGTGAGCTGCCTGGAGGGCAGTCTGCGTGGGCAGAGTGGCTCCCAGGCCAGCAGCCCGACGGCCTGTTCCCCTTCAGAGGCATCGGAGCCTGGAGAGCAGAGACCTCTCGGCACACGCGGTCCCAGGGGGGTGAGTGGGCGCTGTCATCGGTCACACTACCGAGATAAACCCTCTTCCTTAGTGTTTGTCCCGGTTCTGCTGGAAGTGTGCTGTGTGCGTCGGGGTCCAGACACGATGGGCTGGCTTCCCGCTGGTCACTGCCGGTCGTGGGTCAAGCCTGTTTCTATAGGTGGCCTGGCTGCCATCTGGCTGCCTCTTCAACCTGCCACTGTTGCCGTGTCTGGGAGGAGGGAAGAGAAGAGAACGGGCTTGTGCCTGAGGGGGACGTGCATGGGCCTCTCCTGTCGGCTAGGACGGTCATGGCCAGGGCAGAGCTGCACCCGCAGCCTCGCACACGCTGCAGAGCTGGGGCTTTGCGGGAGGGGACGCTGCCCGGGGCACCCCCTCCTCTCGGCTCAGCTGTGACCCCACCATGGTTATCCTCTTGGAGAGGGCAGTACCCGTGCTCCTCGGGAAAGACAGAAATCTGAGTGACCAAACTGGGTCCTCCGTGGGAACCTCGGCCTGTCACCCATGCCCGTCACCATGGCTGAGTCCCAGACACAGCTTCAGATAGAGGTGTTTGTGCCAAATGCTCACTGGGATGGGCTCAGCTTCAGCTTTGGGGCAAGCAGCGGGGCCTTAGTGTTAGCACACTGACCAGGTCCAGGGGGTGACTGCCCCTCCTACACCCCAAACCTTGGCAGAGCAGTGCTCCTTTGACACATTTGCTCCTGGGGCCCAAGCATACGCCCACCACCGCTTCGGGTGCTTGGGGCTCCTGGGGTAGGCGGTGGTGGTGGGAGGTGAGAGGCGTCCCACTGAAGTGGCTTTACCTGACCTGGCCCAGGTTGTCCCGTCACTCAGACTCTCACTGACTGTGCCAGAAGCTCTTTAGTAGAAAAGCCTTTTTTTTTAAAAAAGATTTTATTGGGGAATTGGGGAAGGGGAACAGCCAAGTTGTCCTTCAGTCTTAGTTGTGGAGGGCACAGCTAGCTCACCTCCAAGTCCAGTCACCATCTGGCTGCCCGTTGGCAGCTCTCAGCCGCTTAGATCAAGGTGCCGTGTTCAATCTTAGTTGTGGTGGGCATGGCCCACCATCCCATGCGGGAGTTGAACCAGAAACCTTGTTAGGAGCACGTGCTCTCAGCAGCTGAGCCATCCTGCCACCTGTTGGCAGCTCAGCTTGGGTGCAGCTCACTGGCCCATGTGGGAATTGAATCGGCAACCCTGTTGCTCAGAGCTCACGCTCTTAACCAACTGAGCCGCTTGGCCGGCCCTAGAAAGGCCTTCTGTATGTGAAGGGGGAGACTCACTGGTCTTCTGACTGGGAGACAGCTGGAAGCTTTTCTCCCCGCTCCTCCCCGGCCCCCAACTCACAGTCAGTATCCCTGAGGACTTGGGAAGTGGGCAGGAGGGCAGGAGCCGTGCCCCTTTCTCCAGTAATTCTTATAGTGGGTGAAGTCGTTCTGGTAAAGGGAGGACAAGAGAGTGCCAGGTGCATGCCGGCAGCGGCTGGCTGTGTGTGGAGGCCCCTGCAGCCACTGGCATGCTCGGACCCGAGCTCTGCCCGGTAGCCACTGTGTGTGTGAGACTTCACTACACAAGGGGCCTTCCGGGTCCGGGCACCAGTGGCCACGCAGGCTGACACTGGCTCTGAGGGACGTCCGCCGTCCAGGAGTCACTGTGGACCGGTCAGGGGGACCCAGAACAGCCGTCCCTGTGGGAGTCACCACAGCCTCAGCCCTTAACACTGTCATTGTGGGTGGCATGGCAGCGCGTTAGTGCAGACGTGGTATAACACCTCGCAGTTTAGGCTGCATCCTTCGTTAGCCATTCCACCTGGTGTGGCATGTCACCCTGCCCCACAGATGTGGACACTCGGCACTGAGCTCTTAGAACCCGCCCACGGTCACACGTCCTTTGCATCATCCCGTGTGGATTTGTGAAGGGCTCGGTGGTGCAGGCTCTGTGGGACACAGGCATCAGCGTGGTGCCTGGTGGGCACCGAGCATGCAATGTCAGAAACCTTGTGTGTTGGGAACTGAAAGCCAGTATCATGGTTCTATTTCTGCCACAGGTATCTCCCAAACTGTACCTGCCCGGGAAGAAGGCCACCCTGGAGGTGACGCTCCTGGAAGCGCTTCTCGACCTGGTGGACAGGCACTGGAGTGGCTGCAAGTCCCTGCACTGCAACGAGGTGTTCCTAGGTGAGTCGGGAGGGGACGGCCAGCTGGTCAGCTCTGGCGGCACTGTGTCAGCAGGGGCTCGTCCTTCTGCTGGGTCCTGGAGCCCGCACCCGGCTTGACCGCCCTCGTCAGCCGTCAATGCAGCCGCTGCAATGTGGGGAGCCTGACTGTCCTCACAGCAGCTAGGGGCCCCCTGAGCTGTGGGACACAAGGGACACCCCTGCTGGCTCTGGGGTTTGTGAGATGCCTCGTCACCTGGTTTTGTTGGAAATGCCATTCACAGGTTTTTGCTTCTCATGGCCGCATGTTCACGTGGGGATTCGGAGAGATTAAAAAGCTGCTGCTGTTGTGTCCGAATCCTCTGAGCACTTGATTGTGTGCAGGGCCCGGCATTTGCTGAGACCTTGGTGGAAATGACTGAGGTCCAGGAGGATGGTCCCTCCCCCGAGAGGACTTGGGTTCACGTCCACCTAGCGCCTGTGTTGCAGGAGCACGATGGGGACACTTCCACCACAGTTGGGGTGTGAAGCAGGATGCTGCGTCCTTGGGACGCCACCTTCTCTTTCTCCTGCAGTCTGGGGTGCAGCCATCAGTGTCCCAGTGGGAGCAGGGACTTGCCAGCTGTCTCCTTCTAGCGCACCCTGGGCCCTGCCTGCAGCTGCCATCTTAGTCACCGCCAGAGGCTCCTGGGTGCTCCAGCTGCTCAGTGTGGCGGCTCCTCAGCATCTCCTCCTGGGACCGGGAAGCCCTGAGAAGCCGGAGCCCCTGGAGGCTGAGCCCATAAACCTACACCCTGTTGTTAGGGCAGCAGTGGGCCTGGCTAGAGCTACAGGCTGCTGTCCCCGGTCATGCAGCTGCCCGATGGGGCTTGCACGCAGGTCCCAGGCCAGGGACAGGAGCAGTCGGCCGCTGACGGGAGCATGGTGGGCTGCGAGGGCAGCGAGCCACGGCATCCCCGGGCCTGGCCTCTCCGAGGGGTTACCTTTCTCTAGAGTAAAGCTGCTTCTCTGGATGTAGAAAAGCCTGAGTGAAGGCCATTTCAGGGGTGCCCACGTCTCTTTGCTAGTCTGCATGCCTGTAGTGTTTTTGAGGCATGTGGTGTGTGACATTGAAAATGTATTGAACACATCTTGTTCACACTTCTCCCTTTCAGCATAAATGCTATAATAACACTTGATTTTTACTTGTAGCTCAGGCAAGACATATTTTGTCATCTCTTCAAGAATTTGCAGCAGCTCAGGACAATTCGACAATTCTGAATGAAGAAATTAGCTACCTGACTCTCGAAAACAAATCTTTGCACAATGCCCTGGCTGAGCAACAGCAGCAATACGGCGCGAAGATGAGTGAGGTGGTGTCGGAGCTCAGCAGCATCCGGAAGGAGATGGTGAGCCACGTCCTGGTATCGTTTCCTTTTGTTCACAGATGGGGGGAGATGTCTTGACTCTGCACTGCCCCCAGCCACTGTTGGGCTGCAGCTGGGGCTCCGCTCCTGCCCTTCCAGGATCACAAAGCCCTCCTCACCTGGCCTGACTGTGTCGTTCCCAGACCCCGCAGCCCCAGTGACTTGCAGTTGGCAGCATCACTACTCCTCCCAGCTCTGCCTCTCCTGGGCGGCTGCCCTCTTCTGAGAGAGGCCTAGTGGGAGAGAGAGAGAGAAGACGAAGCCAGGCTTGAGGTGGAGCTTTGGTGGCCCCATGTTCTCTGGTCCAGGCTCCCAAGGCTACTGATGAGAGACGTTCCAGTTAGCTGGGTGACCCTGGGGTTCCTGCTGCTGTCCTGCCTGCACAAGCCAACCACAGGACCATGGCGTCCTGTTGGACCCGAGGGAATTTCCACCAGCAGGTGGCGCCCAAGGGCAGCTAGAGCCAGCACAGCTGGGCCTAGCAGCCTCCTGGCTGGGCGGGCAGCCCTCGTCCTTGGTGTCCTCATCATAAGACCGTCACACACAAATGTCTACATTGAAGAAGAAGAAAGATCTCAAATCAACAACCTAACTTTACATCTCAAGGAACTAGTAAAAGAACAACAAACTAAACCCAAAGGTGACGGAAGAAAATATTAAAGAGCAGAGCAGAAATAAATAGAGAATAGAAAAATAATAGGAAAAATCAACAAAACTGAGTTGGGTTTTTGAAAAAATATACAAAATCAACAAACCCTAAGGTAGACTAAGAAAAAAAGAAGATTCAAGATTCAAAATCAGAAATGAAAGAGGAGACATTACAATGCATGCCTCAGAAATAAAAAGAATCATAAGGGATTATTATGAATGATTATATGCGAACATATTGGGTAACCTAGAAGAAATGAATAAATTCTTAAAAATATACAACCTACCAAGACTGTGTCAAGAAGGAATAAAGCTTGAACAGACCAATAACAAGGAGATTGAGCAGTAATCTCAAAGCTCCCCAAAAATAAAAGCCCAGGTCCAGGTGGCTTCATGGCTGAGTTCTACCAAACATTTAAAGGAAAATTAATACCAATTCCTCTTAAATTCTTTCAAAAAATAGAAGTAGAGGGAACACTTTCAAATTCATTTTATGAGGCAGCAGCATCTAATACCAAAGCCAGATAGAGACACCCCAAGAAAGAAAACTGCAGACCAATATCTCTGATGAACACAGATGTAAAAACTCTCAATAATGTACTAGCAAACTGAATTCATCACATCAGGAAGATTATATACCATGAAAAGTGGGATTTTCCCCTGGAATGCAAGGTTGGTTCAACATATGCAAATGAATATACCACATTAACAGGTTGAAAGATAAAGACACACAATTAATAGATACAGAAAAAGCATTAGACAAAAGTTCAGCATCCATTTGTGATAAAACAAACTCTCAGCAAAATGTGATAAAAGAAAATTTTCTCAACACAATAATGACTATTTATGTAAAGGCACAGCTAACACCATCAGTGAAGGGAAAGTAAAGGCTTTTTCTGTAAGATCCAGTGTACAAGGATGCCCACTCTTACCACTGCTAGTCAACATGGTACTGGAGGTCCTAGCAAGAGCGCGCAGACAGGGAAAAATAAAAGGCTCCCAGAAGTACAATTACCTCTATTCTCAGGTGACATGGTCATAATATGTAGAAAACCCTAAAGATTCCATACCAGAAGAAAAAGAAACAAACCAAACCTGTTAGAATTAATAACATCATTGAAATTTTAGGATACAAAATCGGCATAACAAAAATCAGTTGCGTTTTTTTCTACCAACAATTTATCTGGAAAGGAAACCCAAGGAAATAATCCCATTTATGATAACATCAAAAAGAATAAAATATTAGGAATAAATTTAACCAAGGAGTTTAAAGATATTCACACTGTGAACTATAAGACATTGATGAAAGAAATTGAAGAAGACACAGATAAATGGAAGGATAACCCATGTTCATGGACTAGAAGATTAATGTTGTCAGAATGTCCATACCATCCAATTGATCTGCAAAGTCAACACAGTCTCTATAAAAATTCCAATGGTATTTTTCACAGAACTAGAAAAAACAATTCTAAAACTTATGTAATTATTTTTGTTATAGTTTGTATTCTTCTTTTTCTAGTTCCATAAAAGACCCCAAAGCAATCTTGAGAAAGAACAGCATTCTGGCATCTCAGTTCCCATCTCAGGTTATATTTGGTCATCGGGAAAGTCATGAAGTATTTTTGTATGTTTTTCAATGCAAAAATGCGTCATGACTTCCCCGACGACCCAGTACTACAGGTCATCGTCATCAAGGCAGCATGGTGCTGGCATAGGAACAGACATGTAGATTGTTGAAACAGATCAGTGAGCCCAGAAATAAACCCCAGTATATCTGGTCAACTAATTTTCCACAAGGACACCAAGAATACACACTGGGAAAAGGATAATCTCTTTAATAAGTGGTGTTGGGAACACTGGACAGCCATGTGCAAAAGAATGAAACTAGACCCTTATCTTACAGCATACACAAAAATTAAAATGGATGCAAGATTTAAATGTAAGACTTGAAACCGTAACACTCCTAGAAGAAAACATGGGAAAAGCTCCTTGACATGGACTTGGCAGTGATTTTTTTTGGATATGGCACCAAAAGAGCAGACAACAAAGGCCAGGGGAAAAAAACCAAAAAAAAACCTAGTGGGACTACATCAAACTAAAAAGCTGCACAGCAGAAGAAACAATCACCAGAATGAAAAGGCAACCTATGAAACAGGAGAAAATGTTGCAAACCACATATCTAATAAGGAGTTAATATCCAGACTATACAGGAAAACTCATACAACTTCACAGCAAAAAAAGAAACAGCCTCATTAAAAATGGGCAGAGGAGGCCAGCCGAGTGGCTTGTTGGTTAAGTGCTGGCTTGGGAGGCCAGCTCTGAGCAGCAGGGCCCTGGTTCGGATCCCACATGAGGGCCAGTGACACTGCGCCTTCTACAGCTAAGATGGTGAACAACAGCTTGACCTGGAGCTGGGCTGCCGTGAGTCGCCGATGATGGCATAGGCTGCAGTGGGCTGCCATGAGCTACCATGAGTGGCCAGCAGCTGGCGTGAGCAGCTGGCAGCCGGCGTGAGCTGCTATGAGCAGCCCATCCAATGGCCAGCAACCGATCTGCCTCAGCCAATTGGAAAAGCACAATGATAATACCAACATGGGCCAGTGAAGCGACATCCTCCACAACTAGACTAAAGAACAAAAGGACAGCAACTTGTCTGTTCCCCTTCCCCGATTTCCCAATAAAAAAATCCTTTAAAAAAAAAAAATGGACAGAGGACCTAAATAGACATCCCACCTAAGAGGACACACAGGTGGCCAACGGGTATTTGAAAAGATGCTCAGTGTCACTAGTCATCAGGGAAATGCAGACTAAAACCACAATGAGATGTCACCTCACAACTGTCAGAATGGGCATCATCAGTAAATAAAACAAGTGTCGGAGAGGACGTGGAGAAAAGGGGACCCTCATGCATTGTTGGTGGGATTTCAGACTGGTGCAGCCACTGTGGAAAACAGTATGGAGGGTCCTCAAAAAATTAAAAGAGCTGCCGTGTGATCCAGCCATCCCAGTCCTGGGTAGATACCTGTAGGAAGTAAAATCAGTATCATGAAGAGATACCTGCACCCCATGTTCATTGCAGCATTATTCATGGTAGCCGAGCTGTGGAAGCAACCTCAGTGCCCATCGATGGATGATGGATAAAGAACATGTGTATCCATACAATGCATATACTCATCCTCAGGAAGAAGGAAATCCTGCCGTTTGTGACAACGTGGGTGGACATGGAGGGCGTTGAACTAAGTGAAATTAGTCAGAAGAAACTGCACAGTCTCACATGTGGAATATGAAAAGTCAGGTTCACAGAAGCAGAGCACAGAAGGGTGACAGAGGCGGGAGTCGGGCAGCAGGGTGGTGCTGGTCTGGTGCAGGATGAGCAGGTTTAGAGAGCTCGGGGCAGTGGTGACTGTGGGTGACATTAGTGAATCTGGAAATTTGCTAAGAGTAGATTTCAGGTGTGCTCATCAGAAAACATGGTAACTGAGGAGAATATATGTTACTTTCGCTTGACTGTAGTAGTGATTTCATTGTATACAAATCTCAAATGTACACCTTAAATATCTACAGTTTTTTACTTAAAAAGAAACCATTGTATGTTACCTCACTCATCACTGTGGTGCGTTTTACTGTATGGAAACCACTGAGGTGCCCTCCTTTTAAAAACTCACCGCTGATGGGCTCTGGCACGTGGGTGAGGGGGAGGCTGTGGACATGCAGCTGGTCAGTTTGAGCAAGTTCCTTAGGCCCGCGGCGGAGCCTGAGTGGAGCGCCTCGAACCACAGGCGCTGGTTCCTGCTCGCCAGGACCGCCTGCCCCCCCCCCTCGGTTTCCTGCGGCTGTGTGGGGCTGGGGGTCAGGGCTGTGCTCTCTGCAGTCTGAATGCCCGGGTGGGCATCTTCTCCAGGCCCTCTCGGGCAGCCGGGCGGCCTCACTTGGCCTCCCCATGGGAGCAAGCGTTGTCACTTCTGTGCCGGTTAGGAGCCGTGAGCACGCGAGGACAGGAGCACCGCCCACGCGCAGCGTCCTCGTTTGTGGAGAGAGCTGAAGGAAGCTGCAGGATTGCTGGGAAACACACGTGTCTGAAAGTGCCTGTTCCTCCTCTCTAAGAGCAGACCTCAGCCAGCTCTTAGAGAGCCTGACGGCATGGACCCACACCGAAAGGGTTGCACTGATCGGCGTTCATGGCGCCTTATCTGCTCATAGCAAACTTGTGATGAAAAAGAGACAAAGCAAGCAGACCACCATGGACACACGTCTGGAGAGAGTGACACGTCCTCAAGAAGAGCCCGGGCTGGCCCTTTAGGAGGCGTCTCAGTAGACGGCAGTGGTGTCGTGGGAGGTGGCAGCTCCATGGACCTTACTGCCCCTGAGACCTCCCAGTGGGACGGGACGTGGAGGTGGAGACAGTGAGACTGACGATCCTGACCCTGGTCGGCCGAGGCGAGTGTGTGTGTGTCTTAGTTTTCATCAAAAAAGTTTAAAAAGTTAAAAAAATTTAAATAGGAAACTTACAAGGATATAAAGACGTTTTTACAGCTATACAGTATGTTTCTGTTTTAAGCTGTGATTTTACAAAAGAGTTGAAATGTTAGAAAATGTAAGTTTATAAAGTAAAAAAGTTATTATAAGCTAAGGCTAATTTATTATTGAAGAAAGAAAAAAATTGTAAAATAAACGGAGCGTAGCCTAAGCATGCAGTGTTTACAGTCGTGCACAGTCACGTCCCAGGCCGTCACATCGACTCCCCACTGACTCACCCGGCGCCACGCCAGTCCTACAGGCTCTGTGCTCAGTGAGTGCCCTGTCCAGGTGTGCCATTTTTATCTTTTATACTGTGTTTTTACTGTTTATATACCCAAATACCATGTGTTCCAACTGCTGATGGTCCTTGGTGCAGTCACACGCTGTCCAGGCTTGTGGCCCAGGAGCAGGAGGCTGTAGCACGCAGCCCAGGTGTGCAGCGGGCTGTGCCGTCCAGGTGTGTGGACGTGCTTGTCATGTTCGCACGACGATCGCCTAACGCACTTCCCAGAGCACACGCTCCTCGTTAGGTAACACGTGACTTCCTGCTCTCCCCATTGTGATTCATGAAACAGGAAGCTGGTACCTGGTGATTTCAAAGGCTTCCCTTGAACGTTCTGTATACCCTCTACTGAATTTGACTTGTCTGCTTTAAGTGCACTGTTCTGTGTCTTTAGGGTGATGTGAGGCAGCATTTAGACAGATCTCTGGAGGAGAACAGTAGCTTCAAGTCTCTTCTGTTCAGCATGGAAGAAGAAGTAAGAAATGGTGAGTTGCCAGTTCCTTTGGTACCACTGCTTGGGTCAGATGTCCCCATGGAGACTTCATCTCAAATTATTCACAGGAATCAGAGCCCACAAATAGCGTAAGACGGGCTTGGAGCCCCCACCCTGGCTGCTGTGCCAGTCGGTGCGGGCCTCGCTGCTCCATTCCGTGTCTCCTCAGCAGCTCAGGGCGGCCCCGGGCGCGTGGCGCGGGCAGGTGGCCCTCTGCTCAGCCTTGACCGTCCCCAGTAGGCGCAGCGCTTCTTGTCCTTGGTCCCTGGCCTTCCAGACTCAGATCATTTTCACTTCTCTTCACTTTCTTCGATTCTGTTTTGCCATTTTTACAAAGGTGCTCTCAGTATTTCAAGCTCGGATACCAGGCTCTAGAGTGAGGAGGTGTCAGCAGTCTGTTTTCTGTGGTGTGAAGTGGGGTCTCTCGAAGGTGTTGATTTCACTGAGAATGGACAGGCTGAGCGTCTTTTCCCATCTGCACCTCTGAGGGGGTCCCAGAACTTCTGCTGAAAGGGCCAGATGGGCCAGATGGTCCTCACTTCCGGTTCAGGGCCTTCTGGCCTCTATGCCAAGTACTCACGGTGGCCCTTGTTGCGTGAACGCAGCCACCCAGTCACCTTGGTCTGTCTCTGCCCACTGTGTTTATGGGGCCATTTTATTGAGTGTGAAGAGTTGTTTACAGCCCCTTGATTTAAATTTTTATTTTAGAACTTTACCCTTTTTCCTTCTGTTTCTTTCAGATGTCATTGTCATGTTCACTTGCTCTTGGGTTCCTTGTAGCTCCGCCTTCATTTCCCGCGAAGTCTCCCTTCGCTGCTCATTCTCGCCTGACCAGCCACCTCCTTTCTGGCATTCTCTGATTCTAACGTAGGTGCTTCTTTCATTTCCTGCATCCTTTCATTTCTGCCTTTGGTTCGTTTTGAAACTGGCAGCCATGGTTTTGATCTGTTCTGGGCATGGCTTTCATTGTCGGAAGGGTTACTGTTGCACTCGGATAGTCACTTGCGCACTTCTGCGTTGTTCATTGTCACGTGAAGCTCGCTGTCCTGACTCCCTCGAAGGGGCAAGTCAGGCAGCTTTTCTAACTGCAGATACACATGGAGGCCTCCGTCGGGGGACTTCAGGCCCTGTCCCCCCCCCACTTCTCGCTGGTGTCCTGTCCTGCTCGACCTGTACCCCTCACCGACTGTCTGTCTGCAGGAACCGGGCAGGCCAGCCTCGAGGGGTCATGGCTGCTCCAGCTTTCTGAGACCGCACAGGACCTGGTTTCACCTCATTAGAGGAGGCGGACTCGCCCGCATGCCAGCCCTGGGCCCCTAGCCGGCCCACTACCATTTCCCACAAAACAGGATCGAGGGGTGCCCCCTTCCGCAGGGCTGTGACTGTCTTGTCTGTGGGACCTTAGGCTACCTTATCACCAGGTGCTCTAATGTTGCCTGCCAGGTTCTGGTTTTGGCATCCAGTCACTCTTTTTTTTTTTTTTTTAAGGTTTTTTATTGGGGAATTGGGGGAGGAGAACAGCCAAGTTGTTGTCCTTCAATCTTAGTTATGGAGGGTGCAGCTAGCTCAGCTCCAAGTCCAGTCACCATCCGGCCACTCTGCTCAGGGTATCGTGTTCAATCTTAGTTGCAGGTGGGCGTAGCCACCATCCCATGCGGGTGTCGAGCCGGCAACCTTGTTGTTAAGAGCACACACTGTAACTGCTGAACCACCCATCGCAGCCACGCAGCTCAAGGAGCCGAGTTCAGTCTTAGTTGCGGGCGGGCGCAGCCCCCCGTCCCATGTGGGAACTTTGTTGTTAGGAGCAGCTCACTGGCCCATGTGGGAATCGAACCAGCGACCTGTTGCTCAGAGCTCGCGCTCTTAACCAACTGAGCAGCCGGCCCGCATTCAGTCACTCCTGGTGTTGACTAGTGTGGAGGTTGTGGGGATGCTGAGCCCTCTTCCCGGGGGGTACAGGTCCGGAGGGGTGTTTTCTTGTCTGAGCGCATGGCGATGGCACTCGTGAGAAGGATCTCTGTCACCGTCACTGTCCCCTCCCCCCGCCTTCCTGTGAGCTGTCCCATCACCTCTGGTGTGCTGTGGTCCTGCAGGGCCGTGTCTGCGTGGGGACTTACTTGTATCCTGGTTTTGGATTGGGGAGCCAATAAATAGTGTCTTTCTTCTTTTCTTGAGAAGGAAACCCAGAGAGAAGCAGGAGTCATGTAGATGGGATGCAAACACATGCTCAGCCATGGGACCAGAGGGCACACCAGAAACTTGGGGCCACCGTGGGCTTCCGTCACTTCTCCCCAAAGCTGCAGGCCCTCCCCTTGGGTAGAGGTCACTGCTCTGTGGGCAGCAGGCAGACACGGAAGCCTTGATCTCGCGCCAGCCCATCTGGCCCCACTCTGCCCTCCCTGTAGGGATGTGGTTTCTCAGGGTCCCTGGGGGGCAGATCCCCGCAGCCTCACCCCAAGGAGGGAGCTGGAGCGGGGCCTTCGTTGTTCACCCCCATCTGAGTTGCTTACGGAAACTCACCTTTCCCAAGCTGTATTGTTTTTCTTGTATCCCAGGTCCAGTCTAACCTCCAGAATAGTTTTACTTTTCCAAATGTATAAATGAATTTCACTAAATAGCACTGCTGACTTTCTCTCTCAGGGCTGCAGACAGGCATGCAGAGGCTGTCGGATGAGGTCATGGCATTACAGCAGCACCTGGAGCACTGTGACAAGATCCAGGAGCTCACGTGCATGCTGCAGGAGAGCCACAGGTACGGGGAGGGTGCCGGTGCTCAGCACCTGGCCGCGGGGCCTCGGCCCAGGTGTCGCTCTGCTGACTTGGCAGCTGCATGAGCTTCCCTTTCTTAAGGAAAAGCAAGTTCCTTCCTGCTGCAGCGTCCTGGGAGGTGTGACCAGGGCCGTGAGGGGAGGGGCACATGAGGGATGCTGGGCAGCGACACGAACCTGCGACCCGAGGACCCTGGGCCTGTGGTGGGTGCTGTCCCCTCAGCGTGGTCGTGTCTGTTCACTGAGCAACACGGAGATGCCACCTTTAGTCCCTGGCTCTGGTGGAGGTGAAAAGGGAACTGTAGGTACGGGTGTTGTCAAGGCAGTACCTCAGGTTTGATTCAGAGAATTGTGTCCTGGAACGTGGGTGGAGGCTGTACAGACAGGAAGTTGCCTCCTGGCAAGGCGTGCTGCTGCTGAGGCGAGGACGGGTTTATCTGGGCTTTGTTGGGGTGCGGCTGGCTGTGTGAGCCCCAGTTCCTATGGCCAGCACCCATACCCCGCCCTTTCCTCTGCTGTCCCTGCCTGTCCTCACTGCCCTCGGCAGAGGCCCCCACAGCTCCCCTGATTCTGGTGCAGCCTGGTCATGGGGGAGCCAGGCTCTGACCTTTTGGGGGTGAAGGTCACAGACCTCGTGGGCCCATCACGGTCACAAGTCACAAAGGACAGGGGCTCCTGAGAGATGGGACAGACTGAGACAGGATGGGGCGGGCAGAGGCAGGGAGTACAGGGAGTGGCCAGCGAGGCAAGGTCACTGCCTGGACCTGACGGGGCCACCTGGTGGGTCACTAGAGCGGGCACCGTGGGCTGGTGTGGACGGGACAGGGGTGGGGTGGCGTCCACACTGACTGTGCTGAGCGTCCACCTGGCCAGGAAGGGGCTGTGTCAGGTCCAAGCAAACGGGCTGCCGCCTGCAGGGGCTCGTCCTGGGACCTCTGTGGGAAAAGCTGCCCTACTGTCGCCATTTCTTGTAATGCCACAGATGTATTTGAGTTGTTGCTAACTGGGTGAGCAGGGCAATTTGGAGATGACAGAATTGGTAGAATACAACAGCGCCTTCTCTGCAAAATGCCTTCTAAAATTAAAAATGGTTGAGAATATTAAAAAATCAGGACTTTCAGTTGTACTGTTACAATGTCAGAATCATTAAGAGAGTCCTTTATACTTAAGCAGAAATTGGAAATACTTCAGTCTTGGGGTCTTTTCTTGAATCAGGCCATTGCTCTGCCAGCTGTGGTGGACTGTGGTGGTCCCCTCGGTGACCCTGTGTGGTTGGGCATTGAGGGAGCCATGGGCTCACTATTGAGTCCCTTTATCCCTTCCACGGATGCCAAGGGAGCCAGTAGACCCACCCTGCCCGGTCTGGAGCCAAGGGTAGAGGGGCAGTGGCTGGCGGAGCTCAAGGGGTGTGCTAGGGACGGGACGGCATGCAGCCCGGCCGGTCATGGGTCGGGAGGTCGGCAGGTTGGGAGGTCATGGCCCTGTGTCCCCACAGCGCCCTGGTCAGCACCAACGAGCACCTGCTGCAGGAGCTGGGCCGGGTGCGGGCGCTGCACAGGGCCGAGGTCCAGCAGCTGCACTGGAGCTACGAGGCACTCAAGAGGACCATGGGCCTGTCCCCGCATGGCAGCGCCCTCCAGCCCTGCACGCCCCAGCCTCCCCAGGTGGCGGCCTGTGTGCGAGCCGCCGAGGACTGTCAGCACTCTCGCTGTTCAGGGCCCACAGCTCCGTCTTCCGAAACAGCCTAAGAAGACAGGAGTGACGCAGGCCCCTCCCTGGTTTCCAGACAAAACAGAGACCCTTAATTGTCATGAGATAAAGAAAATGCAGCATTTTGCTGCCCGATGTAAAAGAGAGCGTGTGTAATGATTGAAGAAAACAGTTTTTTGTGAACAGTCAGTCCTTATTTAATAAATGAATACATTGTTCTAAAAAGTGGCTCTTCACAAATTATAACTGAGTTTCTCATTGAGTTCTTTTATAAAATGAGATATGCACCCTAGTTGGTGAGCAGAAACGAATTAAGTTCCAGGACTTCATAAAGTAATCTTCGTAGTTGTGGGAATCGTTTAAAAATGTTGTTTTTTGATATTAACATCCCACAGTAAAAATAGCTGTCTCTTGCTCAGTGTATTTCTGAAAATGGTGTCATAACAGGGCATAAAATCAGATGTTCAGGGGCTGGCTGAGTAGTGCGTTGGTTAAGAGCTGGCTTGGGCTGCCAGAGGGCCCCAGCTCGGATCCCACATATGAGGGCCAGTGACACTGCCCTCCACAGCTAACATGCTGAACAACAGCTCAACCTGGAGCTGGGCTGCCATGAGTCGCCGGCGACAGTGCAGGCTGCTGCAGCCCCTGCGGCAGTGGGTTGCCATGGGCTACCGTATGTAGCCAGCAGCCAGCGTGAGCGGCCAGCAGCCGCCGCCGTGAGCGGCCGTCCAGAAGCCGGCGACTGATCTGCCTCACCCGGGAAGAGCGCAATGATGGTGCCAGCTTGGGCCAGTGAAGCAACGTCCTCCACAACTAGACTGAAGAACAAAACGACAGCAACTTGTCTGTTCCCCTTCCCCGATTCACCAACTCTGTTCCCTCCCCCAATTGCCCAATAAAATCTGGAAAAAAAAAAAGTAGATGTTTAGTTTGGAAACGTCCATCTTCTGTAACACTTACCGCCTTTGGCAAAACAAAGGAGTTTTTTAGAACCTTGTTTAATTGATTGAGGAACAAGCTGCTGTGTGACTGTCAGCGTTGTGTCATGAGGGAAGTCGGAGGGGCGCCAGCTGCCCCGAGAGGAGACTCGGTCTCAGGTCTGGTCATGGTGGTGGCTGACAGCACCGGGTTTTGTAACTTAGCCAGGAAATGTGTCACACCAGATGTAGTTTCTGTCGTCACCAGATCATTTCTAGTTTATTTAAAAGATTTTAGTACTAATGCGTTTTCAGCTGTTAGAAAACGATCGCCGTGTTGTCACTTTATGCTCCTCCTTGTTAGGATTTCACTGAGTTTCTTGGACCTGTGACTTTATATTTTTCATCAGATTTAGGAAAGTTTTGGTCACCATTTCTTCTAATATCTTGTTTGACCCAATACGTACCTACGTGTCTGTCTCTTCGTCTCCTCCTGGGACTCTGCTTTCACTTCTGTCAGACCACTGGAGATTGTCCCCACAGGTCACTAAACTCGGGTCCTTTTTCATCCTTTGTTCTCAGGGATTCAGTTGAAATCTAGTCTGTTGCCCTGATGCAAAGTTTACTGCTCTTTTCTTCTGCCTTATCTGCTGTTGAGCCTGTACAGTGAGGTTTTAATTTCAGAAATTATATATATTTATTTTAGTTCTGAAATCCCATCTGGCTTTGTTTACTGAGGTTTTATTTCCCACACTGCCCATGTTTAAGTCCTTGCCCATGTTCTCAGCAGGTTTACTGTAGATAACCTCCAGTACTCTGCAAAGTGGCTCTGCCAACTAACAGTCCCGGTAGTGGACGGTGGCAGCTTCTGTTGGCCTGTGTTTTTAGCAGGACTGTTGAAAGTTTTTAGTATCTTCATTCCAGAGGGTGTGTCATACACCTCCGTTGGCTTTAATTTGCTTTCCCGTGTTTATCTCCCGTGTTTATCATCTTTGTAAAGTGCCTTTTCAGGTGTTTCCCCCCTATTTTCCTGTTGGATAGTCTGTCTCCTGTTTTGCTGTAGGAGTTACTTATAAGTCTGGGTAGTAGTACTGTGTGGTTTACATTTGCAAATAGCTTTTTCTTGTCTTTTCACTTTTTAATGGTGTCTTGATGAAGAGAAAATTTAAACTTTAATATGCTCCAATTTATCAGCCTTGTTCATTTTGCTTATAGAATTTTCAATCCAAATTTTTAAAAATCTTTCTCTGTGGTTATGAAGATACTGTGTTATCTTCCAAAAGACTTTATAGTTTTGTCTATTTTGGGTTTTGAATATATATTCTCCATGGAACTGATTTTTGTGTGTGTTGTGAGGTTAAGGATCCAATGTCATTGTTTTCAGATGTGAGTCCAATTAGCCACCATCATCACTGACAAGACTCCCTGGTCACCAGTGGTGACCGAGCCTCTGTTCTCCCCACGGGCCGTCCTGCCCGTCTCTGCACAGGAAGGCCTTCTGTGTCACGTGCAGGTCGTCTTGGCTGGTTTTGACCCTTCGCAGTTCACGGATTGTAGAATTAGCTGGGTAAGTGGGCTTTTGTTTGAGGTTGCATTGGTCAGTTTGGGAAGAATAGACATGTGGGAAATAGTGGGCCTTATAAACCATGAAGACAGAGTGTAGACCTCTCCTCTAGATCTCCTCTAATGCACATCATTATAGTTTTATCATTTTCTCCATCGAGGTCATGTGCATCTTTTGTTATATTTAGTCCTAGGTTTTTCTTATTTTGTGATGACATTCTAAAAGGTATGTATTTTTAAATTTGTTTGGATTTCACCTTCTAATTATTTGTTGCTGTTACATATGGAAATCCAGTTGATTTTGTATATTACTAATTCTATATCCAGCAATCTTGTTAAACTCTTATTAATTTTAATAATTTACCCATAGTTATTTTAGCCTTACTGGGCACACAGTCGTGTTTCCTTTGAGTAATGGATTATTGTTTTCTTTCCCATTCCTTTACTCTGGGTTTTTACTTTATTGTTTTCTTTTTGTTTTGTTTTACTGTTTGCTTTTCCATGGTGGCTGGTACTTCTAGTGCAATATCAATTAGAAGTTATAATAGAGTTCTAGATAATAAATAAAAGGAGACGTTTCAGCATTTCACCACTAAATTCGTGATCAGTTTTTTGTAGATGGACTTTCTCAGGTTGAAGAAGTTCCTTCTATTGTTAATTTGCTAAAAATTGTACATCATGAATGGATGAATTTAATCAGACACTTTTCTGCAACTATTGAGATGTCCATGAGTATGACTTTTCTCTGTGTCGATGGCATGGTTAATTACCATAATTTGCTAATGTAAAAAGCACCTCACATTTCTGGGACAAGCACAACTTAGTAATGATGGGTTTTCCTTCCCAGGCAAATTGTTGTATTTGGTTTGTTAACATTTTGTTTAGGATTTTGTATTCTAGGTACAGCACTTAAAGTCTAACTTTGGGCGATTATTGATGTTCTCTGTCCTCGAGTTACTCATTTGTAAAACGGGCTAGTGGTGGTGCCTGCTGTGTAGGTTGTTGTGAAGGTAGAATTAATTCTTATAAAGTTGTAGGACACCGTCTGATACCCAGGAACCACGATGTAAACTGATAGCTTCCCTTCCCTCGGTGACCTTGCGAGCTATGTCACAAGGTCAGGAAGCCTGTTTCTCTTCTGTTGGAAGCGATCCCTGCTGATCCCAGTTGGACTTTCTGTGAGTGAGAAGTAAATTTCGTTGTATCCAGCCACTGAGATTTCAGGGGTTTCCCACTGTAGTTGGTAGTTCCTTACCCTAAATCAAAGCACTGTGTGGACTCTCCACTTCTTCTGGAGTTAGTTTTCCTGAGTTATGATGCATCTCTGGAATTTGTTCACTTGCCTGATTTTCAAATGTTTTGGCCGAACACTCAGTCTTTTAGTGGCATTTTAATAATAGCTTCAGCATTTGAAGTTGTATCCCTGAGGCCGTTCCAGGGAAGGGATGCATGTAAGAAACTGCTGTGGCCTCGGGCTCTGCCTCAGCCGTCCGCGGGCCCGAGGCGGTGACTGAGCAGGCGGGCACTGGGGCCTGGCCCTCCTGCCACGGGGTTGCTCCTGACAGGCCGTCTCCAGAGACCCTGTGGGGCTGGCCAGGCTGTGAGGTCTTCATCGCGGTCCGGAGGCCTCCCTGCTCCTTTCTGTACACTGCTAACCATGCAGCGTCTGCTGCGGCCCCTCACTCCCTCGTCAGGCTCCTCACGCCCTCGTCCGCCCCTCACTCCCTCGTCCGCTCCTCCAGATGCTCATCAGGTTGACCGGTCAGTCCGTCCAGAGAACCAGCCATGGTCTTCATGGCCTTCTCTTCATTTTCAGTTTCTGCTTTTACCTTTCTATTTTTAGCCATGCCGAAATTAATGATACATTTGGCTTAAAAATATTATTTTATCAATTTCCCTGTTCTGTTTCCTTCTCTTGCTTTATTAGCTAATATTATTGATCTATTTTAGTTTAAAACTGTCATCTCATTTTTTGCTGTTTGTTCTATTCTGTGATTTTTTTTTCCCTCTCTACTCTTGCTGTTTTTGGACTTTTTATCGTTCAGCATTTCACCTCTGCTGTTATAGTTTGGAAGCTGAGTCCTCCGTTCTCCTGTATCCTCACATGGTCGTGTTTCATCAGCCTCCCGCCCCCTTCGACGTCGTGCGCCGGCCATCTGCTCTCAGTGACCACAACCCCTTCGCTTTCCCGTGGGGTTTTCACACTCCCGCCCGAGCATCTGCACTCACTGTGGTGGGAGTTGCTATTCATTCTTTGCCCCACTTTCCTCCCTCCCATGTTGGATGTTCTATCTGTGGTCACTTTCTTCCTGCATTTAAAATTTCTACTAATGTCTCCTGGTGGAAGCTCTTCTGGTATAGCTTAAAAGGCCTTTATCTTATCTTCGTTTTTGAAACCTTGCACTGGGCTTGGGCTAGGATGTCAGGCTGCCAGTTACCTGATGACGTCGTTCCTGTCTTTGGGGGCTGCTGCGCTTGTTTGTAATGTGTGTGTCCAGTGTCCCTGGTCCCCAGAGCTGCGTCAGAACGAGAATAGCCCTGACACAGCAGATGGCTGGTCCATGGCTCCTCACGGGGTCAGTCAGGTCAGGGGTCACCTATTTGAGGAGGTGAAGGCTGTCTCGGGTGAGGTCACATGAGGGCCTGTCTCGGGTTGTTATTGCCCGTGTGTGACTGCTGGTTCAGACACTTCGAGGATAACGGAGGGCCACAGTTAACATCTTTATTGTCACTTTACCATTTGACACAATGTTAACAGCAGTGGACAAAGGAGGCGCAATGTGCAGATAGACATGAGCTGTTTCACCAAAGGTCCCAGGCCAGGCCTTAAAGCGACCCCAGCGGTGACACCGCCCCTCGCCCTCTGCGGGAGGGACAGCAGGGCCACCCCAGCCCACGGGCATTCCCGGGAGTGTGGTTTAGACTTTCTGAGTCAGGACACCCATGACATCGACGTGACTAGCCATCACCCTGATGAAGTGATAGACTCGCTACTCCCTCACATAACAGAACACTGGACAAATACAGTGCATGTAGATGTGAATCTGTTTCCCTTTCCTGAAATCAGGTAGTGCAAACACGTAGCGTATCACCCCTTTCAAGTTTCTCTCAGTTGTGCGTTTCCTTTGTTGTTTGGCTTGGTTTGGTTTTTCAAGAGTCTATAGGGAGAGAGGGTTAACTGAAGCATCCCCAAGATGGGCCACTCTGTCCACGCGCCCACAGACCAAGGCCACCAGTTTTCACAAAGTGTTCAGTAGTGAGTCAGTGGGGGGAAGCCATTGAGGGTCAGTGTTTTAAGGACATTCTAGCCTATTGATAATGTCACAGTACAGCTAAATTGTCAGCCTCTGCTGTATCGGACAGGTGACAACAAGGTGCCCTCGTGTGGCGTGTGCTGCAGGATGGGGTGCGGGAGTCAGCTTGTGTCTAAATAAATGCCCAGACTGGGTCTTCGAAGGCCCCCCAGTGAAGGGCCAAAGGGCAGCTATTTTAGGTTTCATGGGGCATGGCATCGGTCAGCCCCGTCCCCCCACCCCCGCCAGTGTCACTGCAGAAGCAGCCACAGACAGCGCCTGAGACACGGGGGTGGCCTCTGTCATTAAAGCTGTTCACAGAACAGGCGGCTGTGCCGGGCCAGGGTTGGGGCTGTGAGCCTCTGCCGCAGCCTGGTTCTGGTAACTCCGCGGGTGGGTGGGACGGGCCAGTGGCCTGCCTGGAGCTCAGCCCTGGGGTGCAGGCAAGCAAGACAGACGGGAATGACCCGGGGAAGCGCTCCGTGGGCAGGCGTCTGCCCAACAGAGGAGCACCTGCTAAAACTCTCATGTCTCAAAACTAAGCCCAAGGGTATTAACAGTGTAAAAATACTCCAGTATAAATATATAGTATTTTAAACTTACACAGTTTGACCTGCAGTTTTGGTAAAGCTAACTCTGTTACTGAACATTGCCTAATGGCCTGTCCTCTGGCAGTAATGGAAAGAAATAGCATTCTGGTATGTTCGGTGCTCGCAAACACGCTCCTTCTACTGTTCTCTCCTGACGTTCAGACACCGTCAACACTGTCCTCCCCTCAGGCCCTGCCCTGTCACATGAAGGTCCTCCCTAGGCCCTGCCCATCTCCCGGGGGGCCTCCCCTCAGGCCCTGCCCGTCTCCCGGGGGTCCTCCCTCAGGCCCTGCCCCATCTCCCGGGGTCCTCTCTTCAGGCCCTGCCCCGTCTTCCGGGGGTCCAACCTCAGGCCCTGCCCCGTCTCCCAGGGGTCCTCCCTCAGGCCCTGCCCCGTCTCCCAGGGTCCTCCCCTCAGGCCCTGCCCTGTCTCCCGGGGGTCCAACCTCAGGCCCTGCCCCGTCTCCCGGGGTCCTCCCCTCAGGCCCTGCCCGTCTCCCTGGGGGCCTCCCCTCAGGCCCTGCCCCGTCTCCCGGGGTCCTCCCTTCAGGCCCTGCCCCGTCTCCCAGGGGTCCTCCCTCAGGCCCTGCCTGTCTCCCCGGGGGCCTCCCCTCAGGCCCTGCCCCGTCTCCCGGGGTCCTCCCTTCAGGCCCTGCCCTGTCTCCCGGGGGTCCTCCCTCAGGCCCTGCCCTGTCTCCCGGGGGTCCTCCCTCAGGACATGCCCTGTCAACGGGTGTCTGCTGTGCATTGTCTAATCACAGGGGACATGCAGTGCTGAGCACAGTTGGGCACAGCTGACTGGAATGCATAAGCGCATGCAGCACAAACACACGCACTGGGCTTCACTGCAGCCAGAACCTGATGGCCACACGTGCGTGTTTCATGCAGTGAGCTGGAGACCAAACGACACAGCGAAGAACGCCAGATGGTGTCAAAGGGACAGAATGGTAACCAGTAATTCCTCATTACGCAGTTTCCCCCTCTTCCTCCTTTCCAGATGGGGGGTGGGGTGTGGATTTGCAGAGCCACACTGAACAGAGAAGGCTGTGTCCTGGCGTGCATGTGGCTGGCGAAGCCTGGGACGGGCAGGGGACGCAGGAGACTGCAGTCGCTCCTTGGTGCTGTGGGCCAGGTCCCCGGGCCCGGTGTGTGCAGTTCTCTGTCAAGGAGCCCGCGTGCTGGGCTGGGACCACGAGGCCACCAGGGAGAGCAGCTGTGTGCACTTGACCCTCATTCGTGACACCTAGAGGGAAGGAAGCACTGTTGTAAGGGTCAGCGGAGTGACCGGTCCTTTCTTGTCGAGCAGGTCACCTGCGCCAGCCTGGGGGATGGTGTTAGCGCTCCGCAGGCCGGGACCGCCTCATAGGAAGATGGCTCCGGCTCTAGGGTGGGCACTGCCGCCAGGACGGACACTCGTGATGTTTCTTTTGCTTAGACCCCACTTTCCCAGTGTGCTCCTGGCAGCCAGCCCCCCACCAGGGTTGGACCTCTCATGTGGAGGCTATTCTTGCCTGAAGACAACACTCTCGGATAGGGGACCGCGTCATGGTGTCCGGCACCCTGTCCAGTGTCCTGGGGGCAAGGAAGGGCTGAGAAGGGCCTGCAGCCATGGAGGCCCAGGTGACATCCATCCCTCCACGGGCTGTGGCGTGGGGACCCTGTGCTGTCCTCGCTGGCGTGCACGCTATAGTGACCAAGGTCCTGGATTCCAGTGTCTTGCTACAGTGACGTGGCTGTGGCAGTGGGGACCAGACTGTTCACGGGCAGGAGAAACGCAGCCTCAGACCAGGAGACCCAGAACCCTGGCGGTGCCTCTGGGCCCCGGGGAGCAGCCTTGTTCTGTGACCACTGATGAAAGCGTCACTGGTCCTGGAACACGGCTGTGGTCTGTCAGGAAACACGTGGCGTGTTCAGTTGTCTTCAGACGCGTTTCCCATGGGCTTCACACAAGGTCCAGCCTGGGGCGGAGGAGGGCACAGCGGGCGCCTGGCCTCCAGCCTGCCTTTCCTCAGACCTCCGTCCTCAGTTTCCCCGCCATGGAGTGGGGCCCGGCCAGGCCGCTTAGGACCCCCAAGTTAGAAACTTTCGAGGCAGTAGTGAGATTGTGCCCTAAAAGTGACACGAAACCTGCGCTCCACCATTTCCCGTCCCAGTGCCACACGCTGGGAGCTCCCAGCACCTCAAACAGAGCTGCCTGCAGAGGCCACCACCACAGGCCATCGCCTTCCAGTTGAGGCCTGGGGGTGGGGGAGACACAGTCGCTTCAGAGGGGCCATGTCCTCAGGAAGGCGCGTGTGCACCACGGCAGTGCTGGTCCCTATTTGGCCATGTGTCTAGGAAGGGGTGCAGAGCACACAGTGGGGCGGCTCTCCGAGACTGCCGTGGGCTCCTGCCAGGACCAGCTCTGGGATAAGGGGCCCCACTGGTCACACACCAGGTTGTGGCTGCGTTTTTGCAAATTGTCCCCTTGAGACCAAGGTGACAGTGCCACCAAGCCCCACCCTGGCTTGGCTTTGTTGTGCAGTTTTCTCGCTCGGGTTGGGACAGCCCCAAGAGGCTTGATCCTGGGGACTTGTGCTGCGCTGTGAGTGACGAGGGGACAGCCACATCCATCTGCAGCCTCGAGACCTGGAGTCCAGAGTGGGCACAGGCAGAAGACACCTGTCACATGCCTGTCGGCGAGGAAGTTTCAGAGCCAACAGGGCCTTGTGACCTGGAGAGAGTCATAGAAGCAGGGTGTTCGGAACCTTCCCATACCCATTCTGAGGATAAACAGTTACGTTTTCTTCTTATTTCTCATTAAAAAACCGAAATGACCTGTCGTCCTCCGTTTCTGACTTCTCACTTCACACAGCAGGTCACCTTCCTTTGGTCCACTGAGGGGTGTTCTCTGCTGCCTCACCTTCCTTTGCACACCAGCCTTCAGCTACATGAGCGACTTAGCACAGACCTGGTCCACAGGCGTGGGCGTGCGTGTGTGCACGTGTGCGAGACATGCGAGTGTGAGCGTGCGCATGTGAGTGAAATGAGTGCATGTGTGAGCGTGCGCCGTGTGGCCCACACCTGCCGAGCCCTTGTGCGTGTCACGGCTGCTGGTGTATTAGTGCCGCCTGGTGGCTCCAGGGAGGGTCTGCGGTCAGCAGGTCCCCTCCAACAGGGTCCCCTTTTGCTTGCAAACCAGGTGGCCGGTGTGGTCTGGTCCTGGGAAACACTTTGTTGCTCGGGACGAGGCAGGTGTGTTAGAGAAAGATCTGTGTTCAGGGGCTACACCTGGGGTCAGAGAGGAGCGCGCCGGGGTCCCAGGCAGGGAGCAGGCTTGAGCGTCACCCACAGCCACCCTGCCCCGGCGTCCAAGCTCTGCCCCAGTGAGTCCAGGAATGTAACGAAGTGTGAGGCGAGTGGGCTCGCGGCAGAGGACGGCCCTCTTTCCGGGGACGGCTACTTGCCCCCCTGCACCTTCTGGTCGTAGGTGCCTGCGTGCTTGTACCCCGGCACGTAGCCCGACTCGTCCACGAGGTCCACGCGGCCGGCCTTGCCCTTGCCCCTGCCCGTCGGGTCGAAGCGTTCCTTGTGGGAGCCCGTGAACTTGCTCGTGTCCGTGAGCCGTGACACGGTGGGTGACGAGATGGCTTTCTGCAGGAGGAGAGCAGGGAGGGGGTTAGCCGCCGCCGAGCCACAGGGGAACACAGGCCCAAGGGGAGGTGGCCTGGGCCAGCCCGCACCCACCGGGGAGGAACGGCTTCGTCCTGTCCTGTCTTCATGGCACCCCCACCCTTCCCCTAGACTCATGCGTCACGCTCCCCGAGAGACCCTCCTCACTCACCGTCACCCCTGAGATGATGGGGGCCTTGCCCTCGATGAGCCTGTGCACCTCTTGCACGGCCTCCTCGCTGCTCTTGTCCTTGAACCTCTTCTTGGAGAGCTCCTCCAGCGCCTCCTTGAACTGGTCGAACGTGATGGTCCGGCAGCCCTTCCCTCTGCAGGGAGAGAGGACTGAGAGCCCGCCACTCGCCCCCATGCTGAAGAACACCCGACCACATCGGGGAACCCTAACCTCACCCAGGGGCCTGATGGGGGTGTCCCGCGTTTCCCGGGGACCCCCGCCTGCCTCTCCCACAGCAGAAAGCAGTCTAACCTTAAAATACAGAACATGCCCCGCCCCCCCGCCCTCCCCTGCCCTGCCTGCAGTGTTTACACCCAACAGTTAGTTGCCATTGGCAACAACAGCAAATATAAATTGTCTTGGAAAAAAGCTTAAAGGAAGCACATCCTTTACGAACAACTGGACATTGAAACAAAGCCATTGTCTGGTTCCAAACAGGGTGTATGTGTGGCCTCCAGTCAGGGAGGGACTTTCAGAGAAAAGTTACGGTGACAAGCTCGTGGGCTCCAAACCACACGGGAGAGGCCTGTCTGTCAGGGTTACCAGCAGGGACAGGAGGGGCGCTCCTCGGGGGCCCGAGCTGGCTGTTGGGAGCTGTGTGAGGGGGACAGCACTTCCTGCAAACGCATCCGTGATGGGAGGAAAGCTCTGAAGTGGCTCGGCACCTTTTATAATTTTAACTGGAAAACATTGTTGCCACTTTAACCGGGTCTTCCCCTGCTAATCCATTCAGTGCGTTTTCAATGTTTCAAAATCAGAGACAGTGTGGAGGGGCCGCCTGGTTCCCACCAGGGTGGACGGCAGCCCAAGCCACCCAAGTTCAAGACTCACGTCTCAGCCCTGGGACGAGACGCAGGGCCAGCCCACAGTGACGACAGGCCACACAGGGTTCACAACAAAGCAGCAAAGGCTCCTGAGCGGAGAAAGCGTGTCTGTAACACGCAGGGCTGGAAGACGACAGCCCCACGTACAGGGAGTGTGTGCCGCGTGCAGACGTGACCCCAGTGGATCAAAGTCCTACACTAATGACGCCTAAAACGAAACCTTCTGGAAGAACATCTAAGAGAAAGACTCTGTGACTTTGGGTTAGACTAAGATTTCTTAGAAATGACACCAGGAAATAGTCCATGAAAGAAAAAAAGAAGATGAACCGGTTTTCACCAAAATCTTAAACACCATTTTCTTCAAAAGACACTGTAATGGAAAGACAAGCCGCAGACTGGGAGAAAATACTCGCAAAACACACGTCTAGTTAAGGACTGCATCTGAAACAGACAACTCTTAAAACAACAAGAAGGAACCCAGTGTAAAAAACGGGGCAAATCAGCTGAACCAGACACTTGGTCGAAGACCTGTGGGTGTCAAACCATTCAGTCCCCAGGGAGATGCCACCCACCCAAGGGACGGCCCAAGTGACGAGAGGGAGGAAGATGCTGTCCGTCGTCCAAGGGGACGCGGGGCCAGCGCCCAGACGCAGCTGCTGGGGACCAGCATGGCGCCCGCTGTGGCAGGCAGTTTGGCAGGTTCTTAAAGGTCACCACCCCACAACTCCTGGGCTCTCCCTCAAGAGATGAAAACAAGCTCACACATTATCGCCGTTCGCTCACAGTTCTGCTCACAGTCACTAAAACCCACAAAATGCCCGGGTGTCCTTCAGTGGTGAGCAGACAGACGCGCCTTGGCATGTCCACAGCACACACACGGGTTCACCTGCACTAGTTACACGTGTGTCTGAAGACACGGGACATGCCAAGCCATGTGCCACAGGCAGGTGAGCTGAGCGGAGGCCACGTGGGAGGGGGGACCAGGAGCACGCAGAGCCGTCAGTCCTGAGGGCGCTTGTCCCACCAGGACCACAGGCGGGCTGGGTGGCTGGTGGACACAGGGCTTCCTCAGACTCTGGGTTTGGCGGAAGGTTCTGCCCCTTGGAGCTCAGCTCTCAGCCTTGAAACCCACCAACACCCTGAGGCTGGCGTTGCCAGGCTGGACGCATCAGGGTCCCCTGCCAGGCCATTCGGGGCGGCTGCCCTCAGCCTGGGTGCCTGGAACGATGTAAACATGGCCTCTTTTTCTCCCTGGACCTTGCTGGGTGGGTAACCTCCAGAGCCCACAGGCCTGTTTGTTTGTCCTGGGCTGTCACAGGCATTCTCGTCTCCTGTCACAGCCTGCCTGGGATGGCACACGGACGCCAGGCCTGACAGCCAACCCACTGACTGGCCACTGGAGCACACAGCCGTCTCAGCGCCGCGGCACCAGGCGCCACCAGTGTGAGTCACTCAGCCCAGGGGTGGGGGGACAGCCAGTGGGGGCTCCCGTCAGAGGCCACATTCAGATCTGGGTGGACACACAGGCCCGAGGCCCTGACTCGCCTACTCCACCTGGCCAGGCTGGGTGTCCCCAAGTGTCCCCACTGTGACTGCTGTGTGGGTCTCAGAACCTTCCCCAGGGACCTAGTGTCCTGCTGCTGAGAGAGTCCCCAGCAAGTTCTAGAATGATAATGCCAGCCCCTTCCCTGGAGACACGATCACATTACACGGCTCTCAGCACACAGAGCGGGACTGTCCTCCGGAGTGTACAGGACGGCAGTGTCCCCACACCGAGCCCGCTCCCCCACCGGCCCTGCTCAGAGGCAGCTGTTGTGCTGGAAAGCCAGCCCAGCAGCGATGGGGCCCTGTGGCCTGGGTCTTCGCTGTGCTTCCCAGGCCCTGTGTCCCCTCAAGGCGCAGCTCAGGGCAGGCAGGCGGCCGGGCCGGCTGCTCCTGAGTCACCAGGGACCCCGGGGGGCCAGCCCGGACCTCCAAGGACAGAGGTGTGTGTCTCCCAGGCTTTGGCCAGTGTCCCGGGATGGAGCATGGGGCCCTTTCCAAAAGGCACAGCCGGCCTGTCAGATCCACTGCGGGGGCGCGGGGGGCGCGCCTTCAGAGAAAGTGGCTCTCCCCGGGTGGCCTGTCCAGAGCAGCCTGGCTGGCCAGGACTCCAGTGTGGGCAGGAAGTGAGGTGCTGAGGCGGACATCTGAGGCGCCGGCAAGAGTCAGAGAGTGGGGAGCCTCCGGGATACTCCCATCAGCTCTGGGCCAGTGGCGCAACGGGCTCCTGGGCACCTGTGCCTGGTGGGGACGTGACCTCTGGGGGAGCCTGATGTGCTTGGGGAGGGCGCAGCTGCTCTGACTGGCCTCTCCTGGCAGACACCAACCCTCACCCCTGCCGGGGGCCGTCCCTCGCCCCCTCCCCCCACCCCCGCCTGGGCCCCAGCAGGTGCAGAGCTCAGAACGCAGCCCCGGCCGGTGGACAGCAGGGTGCTGAGAGCCGCTCAGATCTCAGGTGGGGCTGGCGAGGTGCAAACCTACCTGAAGGGGCAGCTATGACCCCCACATTCAGTTACACTCCCCTCATTTGAAAAAAAAGCCCTCCTACGTGTGTGTTTGCCTCGTGCTGGCCTGGGGTGGCGCGGACATCGGGGTGGGGGGCCTGGGGCTGCACTCACCCTGTGAGGGGCGGGGCCCTAGAGGCTCAGGGCCAAAGCCACAGGACACCCAGCACTGCCTCGGGCGACCACAAGGGGGCCCCGCAGAGGACGCGCCACCACAGCCACCCTGACACCCTAACACCTAAGCTGAAAGCACAGCTGGGGGCCTCGCCGCCTGCTGGAGGCAGGTGCTGGGGCAGGAAAGGCCTGGGTGGGGCGTGCGGACGCCCTTCACTCCAGCAGTGTGGCCCCGTCAGCCCCAGGCCCAGGAGCAGGGGGCTAGCCCCTGGGCACTGAGCAGACACTGCCACCAGCCCTGTTGGGTCAGTGCCCCTGGCAGTGTTTCTTGGACATCACATCACACGCAGAGCTCTCTGCCCGCTCCAGCAGCCCGTCCCACGGTGCCCCCACCCCACAGGGGCACTCAGGAGGGAGCTCGAGGTCTGTGCTGGTGTGAGCTTCCTGGGCGCACATGGCTTGGGCCCGTTATCCCAGAGCCCAGGGGTCCCTGCTTCCGACGGCTCTCATGTCCTGGCCGTGGCTGTGGCGTGTGGCAAGAACAGAGCGGCTTTCCAGGTCGCCTGCTTCCTCCTAACCTGGGACCCAGACGCTGGACTCGGGCCGTCTCTCAGGAAACAGACCCCTGCTGTGCAAACACACAGCACCCAGAAGGTGCGAGGCGGGCAGGAGGCTGCAGCAGACACCCCGCCCGCCTCTGCCCCGGGGTCCGACCTCCACCTGCAGGCTGGGGGCCCCAGTGTCTGAGCTCGCTCGCACACGGAGGCACAGGCAGACAGGACAGACGCGGACGTCGCCGTCCACGGCCCCCGAGTGGCACTGTCAGGTTGACTCTCCTGCTTGTAAAGTCCTGATTGATTAATATTTTAGACTGACCATCGTCTGTCCTTTGGGGCGGGGAGGGTGCAGTAGTCTGTCTAGGTAACAATAGTCTTCCGTCCAGACCTGCTATAGAGCTGCAAGAAATCTGTTTAAAATGTAACGCATAGTAACATGAAAACAGACAGGCGCTGCCATGGTGACAGGATGTAAACAAAGGCTGCAGATACCCCAGCTGGCGCCCTGGCAACCACCCCCAAACAGGAAGGGCCAGCTTTTCTCCATCAAGTGGGCGACTATGAGGTTCCACACCCATCCTGCAGGACCCCGCAACCCTGCCTGGGGACTGTCCCTCCACAACCCCACCAGGAGCACTATCTGCCTCTCCCATCCCAGGGACAAGGGCATGAGTCCCCCCACCATAGCCTGCATGGCCCCCAGCAAGCCATCCACGTGTGGGGACCCCACCTTCTCCCTTCTAGGGGTCTCTGTGGCTGCCACAGGCTGATCTTGACTGTGTGGGGACCAGGACCCCTCACTGGGTTGGGACCACAGCTGCCTGTTCCCCCATTCCACACGCCCCCACAGTGAACTGAGGCAGAGACACCAGGGGCCCCCAAACAGCCCTGGACTGTGCAGTGGGGAGCCCGCTGTGCCCAGGGACCAGGCCTCAGCCACTAAGTGTCCAATCAGCTGCCATCCTGCCTCCCACGACAGGCACTAGGAACAAATGGGGTCCTTCCCAGTGCCCACCCACTCCTGTGACCCAACACCCCACAGGTGGGCACCTGCCTTCTGCACTCGGGCCTCCAGCCTGTCCAGGGCACTCGTCCTCTGAAAGAGCCACCTCCCCACCTGAAAGGCTGTGGAGAGCCTGAGTTCTACCTGCGTGCACATGCATGTGTGCATGTGCATATGTGTGCTGTGGGCTTGTGCACACATGAATATATGCATGTCTGTGCACGTGTGGGCTGTGAGCTCGTGTGTGCACATGGCTGCATGAGCTCTGTACAAGTGTGTCTACATGTGTGAGCTGTGCACACGTGCATGTGTCTGTGTACATGTGTGGGCTGTGAGCGTGTGCACACACGTGTGCACATGGCTGCATGAGCTCTGTACAAGTGTGTCTGTACATGTGTGAGCTGTGTGCACACGTGCATGTGTCTGTGTACATGTGTGTGGGCTGTGAGCGTGTGTGCACACGTGTGCACATGGCTGCATGAGCTCTGTACAAGTGTGTCTGTACATGTGTGAGCTGTGTGCACACGTGCATGTGTCTGTGTACATGTGTGTGGGCTGTGAGCGTGTGTGCACACGTGTGCACATGGCTGCATGAGCTCTGTACAAGTGTGTCTGTACATGTGTGAGCTGTGCACATGTGCACACGGCTGCATGAGCTCTGTACAAGTGTGTACATGTGAGCTGTGTGCACACGTGCATGTGTCTGTACATGTGTGTGGGCTGTGAGCGCACGTGCACACGTGTGCACATGGCTGCATGAGCTCTGTACAAGTGTGTACATGTGTGAGCTGTGTGCACACATGTGTGTGTCTGTACATGTGTGTGGGCTGTGAGCGCGTGTGCACACGTGTGCACATGGCTGCATGCAGTAGCTTGAGGGCAACTCACTGCAGAGGAATCACGAGCGAGGGAGGAGCAGCCACCGCCCGACGCTGCATGTCGGGGCCAGTGCCTGGGTGTGGGAGCCCGTGTCCTCACCTCGCCTCCCTCCCAGCCCTTCTGGAACGTTCCCCAACAGAAACGGCTCTTGGGGCTCCTTAGCTCCTGGTCTGTCCCCTCTTGTCTTCCCTGAACACACAGGGTTTACACAGGCGACTCTAAGGGCCTGCAGGACCTGCCCGGGGACTGCGGGAGGGACCATGCTGAGTCTCATCCTCGTCCTGCCCCCAGCCGCCCTCCTCACCTGCGTCCTCACCTGCCTTCCCATCCTCACCTCTGTCCTACTCCACCTGCGTCCTCCCCCTCACCTGTGTCCTCACCTGCGTCCTTCTCACCTGCATCCCCCTCACCTGTGTCCTCCTCACCTGCATCCCCCTCACCTGCGTCCTCCTCACCTGTGTCCTCACATGCGTCCTCCTCACCTGCATCCCCCTCACCTGCGTCCTCACCTGTGTCCTCACCTGCGTCCTCCTCACCTGCATCCCCCTCACCTGTGTCCTCACCTGCATCCCCCTCACCTGCGTCCTCCTCACCTGCGTCCCCCTCACCTGCGTCCTCACCTGCATCCCCCTCACCTGTGTCCTCACCTGTGTCCTCACCTGCATCCCCCTCACCTGTGCCCTTACCTGCATCCTCCTCACCTGCATCCCCCTCACCTGCGTCCCCCTCACCTGTGTCCTCACCTGTGTCCTCACCTGCATCCCCCTCACCTGCGTCCTCACCTGCGTCCCCCTCACCTGTGTCCTCCTGGCCCACGGCCGCCTCTAACCCTGGGCCTTCAGACGGCACCAGGACCCCATATCCTACCCTATTGTGTCACTGGGGCTCTGGTCCGACTGAAGTAAATCTTACTGGTTCTAACTGTTCAGGTGAGACTGGAAAGGTGGCGTCCCCTCCACCTGGTGAGTGCCTGTCTCTTGTGCCCCATTACTGGGTTGTGACAGTTGGCCTTGAGGTCCACTTTTGGGGCCACCTCCACCCTACCCCAGCCAGGCCACCCCAGGGCAGCCTCCTGGCTCAGTGGGAACGCGCTAACCCCAGAATAGCCGGCCTGTGGCTCTGCAGTGACCGGCAGTGACAGCTGCTCCTCAGCCTCGGGTGGCTGTCAGGCTAAGGAGTCGGGGAGACATCACGGTGATAGAGATATACCTAACAGCATTTTCCACAAATAGTGGTGACATGAAGTCACAGCCTCTGGGGAAGCAAAGCAAGAAACCATTCAGGACCTCTGTGCTCAGAGCAGGACGAAGGCGCAGCCAGGCCGCTAACTGGGAGGGGACGGGGCATCTGAGATGGAGCATGGTGAGGCCACAGAGGCTGTGATGGACATGGGCCAAAAATAAGCTGAAATGACTCTATTTTCCAGCAACAGGCATGACCTGAACAGAGGGTTTGCTGTTAATTTTCTCAGATGGGGTCATGGGTCGTGGAAGGCAGGAGAATGTCCTGGCGCTTCCAAGATGCCCAGCGGGACCCTGCCTGCACGTGCTCCCACGTCCAGGAGAAAGGGTGTGTGTGTGCACGCACAGAGGAAGCTCACGGGCACACCGCTCAGCCCCCAGGCACAGGTGCAGACGCCGTGCTCGCTCACTCTGCCTCGTGTGTGGTCACTTCCCAGAGTGGAGGGGACCCCACGGAGGGACTGGTCGTTAGGGCCTGGTGAGATCCTGGTGGGTGCCCTTGGGACAGGCTTCACAGCTCAGCATGGGCGCCGACCTCTCAGGCTCGGCCACCTGAGACCCTCCCAGCTCCTGTGGGTCAGGGCTGCACCCCCATCCTGGGCTCCCGGCCCTCCCCGACCGGGGGGTGCTGGGTCCCATCCCTGGGCACCTGACGGGAAGGGTCCGGAAGTATCACACCCCCTCGCAACCCGCATTCGGCCCACTGGGGGCCTGAGGACACCAGCTCCGGCCAGCGAGCCCAGTGCACTTACTTGATTTTGCTGAAGACAATGTCCACGTCGGTGACAGTCACATTCTTCCCGTCGATCACCTGGCAGTCCTTGCACAGCTTTGACCAGTTCTTACCGTGCAGTTCCTTGCCTGTGGCCCTGGTGTCCCCGTGCACCGCAAATCGCCGGAAGGCCTCCTCCAGGGCGCTGAGCTCGGAGGCCGCGGCCGCCCCCTCAGAGGCACCTTCCGACTCCAGAGACAGCCTCTTAGCTGCCTTGTCCTTCGCGGGGTCCCCTGGGGACTTTGGGGGTGTCTTGTTGGCAGCCTTGGTGGGCTTAGCCTTGCTGTCAGCCATGTTCCTGGGGAGGAAAAACGGAACAGGGTTATCCCGTTTCTGCGAGGCTGCTGCCCACTCACAGGGCACAGCAGAGTCCCGGGGACCCATGGAGCCAAGCCTTGGCATGAGGGGTCAGAACCCCACGCAGGGTGGCCACAGCAGGGTGCCGCTGGGCACGCCACTGCCCCCTCAAGCACCAGCACCCTGCCGGCCATTGGTGGGTCAACCCTCCCCAAACAGTCAAAGCCCTCAGCAGTGGCAGGACCATGGGGGTACACCCAGCCCAGCCGCCTGGAGGCTCGGGCCCCCTGTCATTCCCCGCCACGGTCTCCCCTGCTCTGGCGACTCCCCAGAATGACACCCTTCCCAGGGTCTGTGCAGTACTGCCATCCTTGGGGCAGGGGTGCAGAATCCGTCCTGCCGCTGTCCCCGTGCAGGTGGGAGAGGGGACCTGGTGTCTGCCAGGAATGCTGAGAGCTGAGTGCCGCAGGCCCAGAGTGGGGATGCGTCTGATCCCCAAACCCAGCTGGTCCCCGCGGGGCTGAGAGGCCAAGAGCCATGCAGCCCATGCAATTTCAGGAGCACAGAGCTAAGCTTGGATCCTCTGCTGGTGGCCAGGGCGGGACTCCAGGCACCCAGCCCCAAGCAAAGGTCCCGTGGGCCCTCCTGGGCGGCTTCCTAGAGGAGCAGACACGGGGAGGACGGCCGGGAGCTCAACAAGAGGAGAGCTCAAGACTGGTGTCCACCCAGCCAGCTGGCTCAGGACCCTGCCACGCATTGAAAATCCCCTTCCAACCTGCTCTGTCCACACCAGTTAGGACAGAGGCAGAGGTGGCCCTGCTGAACTCAAGATTTTACAAGCTCCCAGCAGCCGGGGTCAAATGCCCACGACCGCTGGACTGAATGTTCTCAGGGGCCTCACACGCAGTCCCGCCCCGTCCCCTCCTCTATGATGGCACAAAAAGTAGACCTGCTCTTGGGAGAAATCCAGACACGTGGGTCAAGGGTTGTGGGCACCTGGGGGGCCGGCGTAGGGGGGACATGGGTGTCTGCAGGGAAGGGGGGTGTGGGCGCCTGCAGGGGACAGGGGATGCTATCTCTGCAGGGCCTCCAGTGCCAAGGCGAGTCGGGTGTCAGTGGAATGGCTACCCGGCTTATCGCTGACACCATTTCTTTGAAACAGGAGCTTCTCATGAGCGGCCGAGGGCAGCTGAGTGCTCACCATGGCATCTCTGCAGCTCAAGGCCTGGGAGGGAAAGCGGCTCGGAAAGTTCTAGAAGCTGAGTCAGCTTGTGAGAAAGTGGGGACAGACGTGCATGTGTGCGCGCGCGCAAGAAGCCTGTTAGGATGCGTCAAACCCAGCGCACCCCCTACGGTCCCGGCGACATCACGTGGGAGAAGAAAACGCCCCAGCGACACCGGGAAGAGCTGTCTCTGGTGTCGGGATCACGGTTCTTTCTCCTCGTGCTTTTCTGCATTTGCAGATTTCCTCCAGGCACCATTTCATAACAAGGGCCTCCCCACGCCCGCTTAGGGTCCCTGAGTCAGCACCCCAGGGTGCCAACGACAAGCCCCGATGGGTGGTGGGTGGAGCTCCCACCAAGGTCACGGAGGAGACAGACCCCTTGAAGTGCTCTGGACCCGTGCTGAACAGACATGTGGATTCAGGCACGCAAGGCAGGCCCTCTGGGACCGTGAGCCCCCAGGGACCTGAGAATGAAGGACACAGGGGACAGACTCGGGCTCAGGCACCGCGTGCCCCTTAGCCGCCAGCTTGGCGCGCTGGTGGCCTGACCGAGTGGGGAGGCCAGCCTACAGTCAATGAAAGTGAGGGCTGCAGGGCCGGCCGAGTGGCTCAGTTGGTTAAGAGCGCGCTCAAGAGTTTGAGCTCTGAGCAACAGCGGTTCGAGTCCAGCCCGAGCTGAGCAGCCACTGAGCTGCCAACAGGTAGCAGGATGGCTCAGCTTAAANCAGCGGTTCGAGTCCAGCCCGAGCTGAGCAGCCACTGAGCTGCCAACAGGTAGCAGGATGGCTCAGCTTAAAAAAAAAAAAAAAAAAAGAAAGTGAGGGCTGCATGATGTCACAAGTCCTGCTCTCTTGAGGTTTCCCTGGACAAGGAATAACCACGGAAACAAACACACACATGGGACAGGTGCACGAGGAGAAACTGAGGCAGGTAAGACACAGCACTGATTTGCCACCAAGTGCAGGGGACGTGTGAGTGTGGGTGAGTCACACAAAGGTGCTGGCATGTACCACCAGTGCCGCCCCGAACCCCATTGGACAGTTCGGGTTCCTCCCAGCCCGAAACCCCACACGATGGCGAGCAGGTGGGCGAAGAGAGAGGACACGGTCAGGCTGGCGCCAGGAGACGAGGATGGTGCTTTAAATGTTCCAAAGATCCCTACTCACCCGGGGACCTCTGCACCCACACCACTGTCCCCAGGGGAGGGGCCGAGGACGGCTGCAGACAGACGAGCTTGGTGACTACCACACTCACCAAACAGGCGGTTGGCGACTATCAGTGTGGCAGGAATCCACGGTGACCCGGGGGGCACCTGGCGGAAAGAGCTCACCGCCACGCCACAGAGCCGCAGGGGCCGGTGCCGGAGGGCTTCAGGCAGAGTCCCTTCAAACTCAACCTGGGCTCAGCTGTCCCTACAAAGCAGGCGGCGGCAGCAACACTGGACGTCTCCTCCTGGAGCTGGGGCCTTGCAGGGCATGGCTCTGCTGTGAACCCCATTTGGGGCCGTTTCTGGGTGTGTTGATGGGTTTTCATTAGGGATCAGCTTGGAGTCGGTTCTCCGAGACAGTGGAGGCCACCGTGGACACAAGGGGCCCCAGGCTATGGCCATCCTCACCAACACCTCTGTCTGGGCGGGGCTCCCAACCTCACAGAGGCAGAGGTGACGTGGCCACACGACCCGAGCTCTGCTCCCGGTCTGGGTTGGCCCTTGGTTTCACTATGAGCATTATCTTGATAAAATATGCTGAGACTGGTTTTAACAAAATTCGTGGAAGGACTGGGACCCTACGTGCCAACAGGAGAAGCTCTCCAAGAGAACTGTTCGCTCTGCGAGCAGCAGGGCGTGAGCCGCAGCAATCGCGACCCCGCCGGCAGGCAGACCGCAGGGGCGGGCGAGCCAGCGCCACGCTGGGGAGAGGGGCTGTGGCTTCCAGGCCGCCCTTCCGTGTCCGAATTGCTCCAATAAACCCAGGTGCTATTTCCACAGTAATGTAATAACAATGAATTTCATTTGACAAGAAGCCGAGGGCTCCAGCAGCGGTCGACTGGAATACACAGGTGTCCACGGAGACGCTGCCGTACCAGGCTGCACGCGGGGCCCCAACAAGCACGAACTTCCAGCCCCCCACAGGTCTGGCTTCTCTCCCCGCATGGAGGCTGCCACGCCCTCCTGTTTTCCTGACTCCATGGCTTCCGGGGTGTGGTGAGTCTGGACCCTGGGTGGCATTCCAGGCCCCTTCCGCCCTGTGCCTCCCACTTTCCACCAGGATGAAAAGTAAAGTCACTTAGGAGAGAAGGCTACCAGAAAGTCAAATACCAACCCACCAAATGCAGCGTTAAACGGAGGATCCCTGGGGTGCGGCCATACTCTTTGGTGTGTGCCTCGCACCCCCAGGTGTGTGCCCCGCGTCGGGCTGTGCGCCCTGCATCCCAGGAGAGCCAGCCCCTCCCTGGCCAAGATTCCCCTTACAGGGCACGGGTCAGCCTATGGTCGGAGTGGCGGCCTATCAGGTACGACCAGGTATCACGGAGCCCAGGAGGCTCTGTCCTAGTTCCCTCGGTGTGAGGATTTTCAACCGCTTGGGAAAGGCCCAGCGAGTCAAGTTCTGGCTTATTTCATGTCCAGGACCCCCCGCTCCCTGTGAAGCCGGCTCCCTCCCGGCCCCCTCTAGCCCACTTCTGTGGAGAGAGCCCAGAACCTGTGGGCTGTCGGCAGGTGGAAAGGGGGAGGAGAGCACGGAGGGGCAGGGAGGCTTCGGGAGGCCGAGGGACACACCTGTGAAATGCAGACGGGGAGCCGGGACCTGCCCTCCCAGACAAGAGCTGGGCTCCCTTGAGATCCCTCTTCTGCTGGCCTCAGGAGCCCCGGGAAGGAGGGTGACAGCTGTGCCCCTCCCTGTCCCTGGGCCTCTGACCGAGCAGCCCGCTGTAGGCCTGTTCCTTGAGGGACCCACCGGTGAGCCCCTCAGCAGCTCTGGGCACGGGGAGGGGCGGGCAGTGGGCTGGGGGAGCCGGCATGTCCAGTCCGGCGAAGCCATCAGCCTCGGCCAGGTCCCACCTGAGGCAGGGCAGGTGCTGTCCTAGAGAGGTCAGGAGGGGACTGATACAGAGCTCACACTGCGCATGGGGACAGACTGTGTTACTGGATTTGCATTTTCAAAGGCGGGCGGGAGAGAGCAAGGCGGTCGGAAGGTGGAAATACAGGTCACAGTGGCTGAAGGTGTGTGCCTGCCGCCCAGAAACAGTCAAACAAAAACCCCGGGCCTGGTGACCCCATCCAGACCTGGGGGTATCTGTCCCACTGCTGAGGCGTCGCAGGCGCCACGGCTTCACCCTGGCCCACTGCCCCCTCACGAGACGGACTGTGACAAGGTCCTTATTTCCAGAATGACTCTCCCTGGAATCCTGCTTAAGGCTTGACTGCCTGAAGCAAAACCTACCAAAAAAATAACACAGGACAGACCCTACCTAACCCATGACAGTCACAGTAGCCACATGACATCATACATAGGTAGCGTCCTGACCAGAACTGAGAATCTGTGTTAGTAATGTGTCTGTGAGCAGAACAGGTGTGTCTGAGAAGAGGGCCAGGTGTCTGTGAGGTCAGGTGTGGCTGTGAACAGGCCAGGTGTCTGTGAGCAGAGCCAGGTGTGTCTGTGAGCAGA